AATAAAAATCTGACACAACAAAAAAAATGGAATGGAAATAGGATTTAAGTCAAATGTATATTGGAATTAAGAAGTAATAGAGTATATCACTGAAGTCTCACCATTACCCTTCCACAAAATCACATTTTTGTTCTGATCTAAAATTTGATGTCAAATGTTGTTTGACCAGAAATTTGAATCTATGTAAGTTCTTGGTTGCCTTAATATTTTCTGGTAATGCATTCCAGTCCTTTATTGCATTATAAGAGAAATATGTGGACTCTACCCCACTTATATTATTTATATAAAAGTTATATTGGCTTGATCTTGTACACCTCTTGTTGTTCCTTTCAAAACCTTCCTTCATATAAGCTGGACATTTTTCATGATTTTTTGTAAAAACATGGTTTAATCTCAGTTGAGACACTCTATTACTTACATTCAACATGATTAATTTTTCCAGTTCTGCAAAAGTTATTCTTTTCCTCCAATCTAAATCAAAAATAAAACGAACAACCTTGTTTTGTGTAACTTGAAGTTTGTGTTTAAGAGTTTTGGAGATACCCCAGTACCAAGATGAGCAAGCATAGTCAAAATGACATTGGATAAGTGCGGAGCAGAGTATTTTCTGGTTCGGTATAACATTTTTAGTCTCTGATTAATTTTCTGTATTGTATTGTTCACAATATGTTGTCATGAAAGAAACTGGGCTAAGATTACACCCAAATATTTTACATGTGGTTTGGACTCAATAGTATGTCCATTGCTTTTGATATTAAAGCATTTGGAAGTCCAATTTATCAATTTTCCTTTAGGACCAAAAAGGACACTTTCTGTTTTCCCAAGATGAAGTGAAAGTTTATTAACTACAAGCCAATCGTGGCAGGATTCCAGTGTTTTTGATAATTTATCCGATATTATGTTTGGGTCTTTGGGTGAAAAAATTAAAGCACTATCATCTGCATATAGTAGGAGTTTGCACTCAGAGTCGATACTTATCTGCATGTCATTAACATACGTTAAAAATAAAAGTGGGCCTAGTATCCTACCCTGGGGTACCCTACAGTTTACCTCTTCAGTGTTGGAATTTGTTTTGTTAACATGAACAAGTTGTTTTCTTTGCATGAGATAGGATTTAAACCATGTTATAGACTCAATACCCATACATTTAAGTTTTTCACAAAGAATATCATGGTCAACTGTATCAAATGCTTTTTGTAAATCTAAAAGTACCATGCTTGTAAAATGACCTTTAGATGTCTGGGATTTAATATAGTCTACAAGATGAATGAGGCAAGAATCAGTTGAATGAGATGTTCTAAATCCTGATTGGTGTTCATATAATAAATTATATGAAATAAGGTATGTTTCCAGTTGTTTTTATACTGCCTTCTCAAGTATTTTTGATACAATGCAGAGAATACTGACTGGTCGATAGTTTTCAGCCTTTAATCTGTCACATTTTTTGAATAGTGGTTTATTTTTGCCATTTTCATTCCTTCAGGGACTTTACCCTCAGATATAGATGTATTTATCAGAAAAGTAATTGTAATTTTAATATTGATGCTGCATCTTTAAGAAAGCGAGCAGGAATGCCATCCAGGCCTGTACTTTTAGCAGTTTTAAGATTACAAAGTTCTTTATACACAAATGATTCATTAATATGTTTCAAATGAATATGTTTTCTTTTTAAGTAAAAGCCTCTAAATAAATAAGAAGTAGTATTGTAAATCCTTTTACAGCTTGGCAGTCTTTCCACAAGTTTGGCAGCAATAGTTATAAAATATAAGTTAAAATAATTGGCAATAGAAAATCCATCATGGCAATTTTTGTTGTTTATGTTAAGTACGACTTTTGAATGCGAACCTCTTTTACTGGGGCAAATTCATCGCGTACCATCATAAATATATTACAAAAAGTGGTCCATGACTTGTTTACCTCTTTACCATTAACAAATTCTTCCCAGTTGGATTCAGCTAATTTCTTAACAAATACATCTTTGTCATAGTTTTTGGTTGAACGTATAGTTACATTATTGTGCCTGTTAAAAACACCTTTGCTGGTTTTTTCTGGTACAGTATGTTAAAAAATGGTCACTGATACCAATAGGGATAACACCTGAATGACTAATGCGTTCTTTATTGTTACAGATAATTCTTTCTTTGTAGTAAAGTAGCAAATATATCTGTCAAAAAACATGAAAGGGTCAAAAGGGGGATATGAACATTAATTAATCGTAACAATGAAATACATACCTAGTTAAAACCAATCGGTCAGGCTCTTGTATTAGACTACATACTTATAAAGATTTGAGATAATTATTTCTAAGTATAATGTTTACCGTTTAATAAGTCAATAATAAACAATAAACTAAATCAGTTAAGTACACATAATATTAGTATTAGTTTGTAATTGGCAACAGGCTAATTGAATTTGCCGCCATCTAAACAGGTTCCCGTGACGTAATAAGCTTATAGACCAATCAAAAAAGGTCTTTCATCACCTCCATGGTTTCTGTATAACAACAACATGGCGGCCAAAGCATGGCGGATTTTTTGACATTTATAATTGTGAACTCAAGTATGACATCAGAGTGAGTGTGTACACGCGACAGTGTGTTTCATGGGGGAAAAGAACCATACGGATTCAAAGGTAAGATCATTAAAAATATCTTATGATACATAATCCAAATTTATCACGAGAGTTTTACTGCATAAACAAACTAATACATGTAGCGTGTCCCGGTATATAACGTACGTACATGGAGATAAATCGATATATAATAGTCTTGGCATAGTAAACAGGAGTGTTATTTTTGCTTCTGTGTTGTACTGAATTTATTCACATTGCTAGAAAGCTTATAGGAAAAAATGTATTCACAAAAACAACATACGTAGAGTTTGAACAGTAGATCTAAAGCGTACAGTGTACAGTTAGCATAGATCGAATGTTTACATTTGTGAATATAAACCTGCTCGTTCCAGCTTCATATCAGTCAACCTTATCACCTTCATAAGAACAGGTAGATATAAGAGGAATTCAATCTAAATTGTAAATGGTTTTGTCATGTTAACTTTAAAATAAGACTTGGGGAATCAACTGGTGTGCATTAAATTATAGTACTGTTATAGATTTCAAAAATAATTCTCAAAACGGTAGTTATTTAATTGAAGAATTGCTCACTTGGTATAAATCAAGCCCCATAAGTCCACAAAAGATACCCGATGTTGAACCTTCTTGTTTATGTTCATTCAATTGTTGGATTGGCAAAAAAAAGAAAAGGGAAAAAAAGAATGTAAGAATGTCAAAAAAATAAAGATGTACATTTCAAAAATGTTCCTCTCTTAGAATACAGCAAAGATAAAATTGTATGAGATTACATTATCATGTAAATAAATATTATGTCCTTTTGGCCTTATACAGGCTTTTTTGTCCATGTCTCAGTTCTCTCCTATGTTTAAAACAAAATGACTTATTTCCTGATTAAAATGTTCGATTAGAAAAAACTGTAACTGCATTTTAAACTGATTGGAGGCCTGTTCCTGAGGTCAAACGTTTGTTTTGTAATTGTTCAATTTTCCCCAATTAGAGTGTAAAATTTAAAATTAAAACAGCTGAACAAATGAAATCAGTAGGACCTTGTACTAATACATTGTTAAAGTTGTGTTCCCATTAATTGACTTTGTCCAATATTGGTCAGTTAGGCCAATAAATTAATTAATCGACTGCAAAATTGACAATCAATTTTAGTCATTGTAGTTGGACAGATATTAATTTATGGAGTTTTCATTAGATTGATTCATGATATCAAGTCTAATTCCTTGCCATACTGGCAAGTGTAGAGCAGCAGACCCTGATATATTTATTTCTAGCTGCAATGTTGACATCATTACTTAATTACTTTTACTTCAAGCCAGCACATGGCTGCTTAGTAAGGGCTGTCACAATATATCGGAAATCAGGTATATCGCAATACACGGGTATATTGTATCGTACCACAATACAGAGATGAAATATTGCTGTATCGCAATATTTTACAAAAGCATATTTTTATGTATCTGCTTTGGTGTTTTAACTTTGCAAATTACTACAAATTCTAACAGATATGCAAATTGCTACAAATTCTAACAGACAAGCATAAATCAGGCTTTTAATAGTTCAAATTTTGTAATCGATGGTTGGTTTGACAAAAATCTTAAATCTATGTAATCCATATTATATATGATTAAGTTTAATAACATTCTGACAACAACTTATTATAAAATTTAGCATATCCTTCCTATGACAATATATCAGGATACATATCGCAATACATTCATTCTGTATTGCAATATATCTTGATACACTCTTGGTGTATTGTGACACCCCTACTGCTTAGGACTATAAATTACAGATTCAGTGTTTACATTTACTGAAAGAAAGTTCACATTTTTTTTAGAGTTTAACCAAAAAAATATCAATATTAATTTTAGTACTGTTATTGTATCGCGATACAGGCAAACAAAATAATTCGATGTGATACACCGTACTCAAGAAAGTATTTAAATACGATACAATATATTGTTGCAGCCCTAGTTCCTATAAACAGTATATTATATAACCCAGAGATGATGATTGCCCCTTGAGATACAATCTTCCTGCCTCGGAAGGTCCCATACCTATATTACCCGGCTGCTTAGGTGTATCATAGTAATGTATATGTATACACAGGCAGAAGTAGCGAAGAATGAAAACAAAATCTAGTACTGGAGCACACACATCACTTCTGTGTTCAGGGTACAAAACAACAGACAAATATCTACATAAATTACCATATTTTACAGGTATACTATGTTTAACTCTCCAAGGATGTTCTCAATTCAATAAGTGAATTTATGGCTTGACTGTAAGTCCTTAATGTCAATTATAAGCTGCCCTTTCTATGTGCTGAATAAAAGGATAAAAGTTGACACAGGGTATTTAATAATGCTATTTATATGTACCGAAGGCCTCTTACCAGTAATGTGTATATGGATACGGATAAAGTTATGTGTCGAGGTATTATGGTTGAATCTTCGCAGGGTTGTTTAATAGTTGTTTAAAGAATTTAATCATTTTATAAGATAATTTATAATAATTCATATTATTTCTCCTGCTTTTCCATGTTTCTTTTTCTTTTTGAAATTGAACTTTAAAGGTCGGAGATATCAATACATGTATCTGTCTTTGTTCTTTATGTCAAATTCACTTACAACTCTTATGCTAACAACCCTTCGGAGAAATTACAGAACATTATAGTGGATCTTTGGCAGGTTGTATTGACTTAAAGCCAATGAACTTGGAGGTATTTTACTAATACCACTGGTAATCTTTGTCAATATAAAAGTCAACACTAGCTGTTAACAATAATAACTAACTGAGTTGGTAAATACATAAATAAATTTAGTGTATTCTAACACAATGTATGTAAACTAAAACTTTGTATTAAGGTTTTTGATGTTTAATTTAATAGTTCCTATACACATGTGATCACAGCTGTCTATTTATATTATTATAAGACAAGTATTTTACAATTCCATAAATGTTTGCTGTAGCTGTCTATATAATATATTATTTTTTTCTGATGAACTGGCCCTATTCCCTGTAATATTTTATAAACTGTCCCCTGTAATTCCATCCCAACTCCCAGTATCATTGTACAACTTATGTTTTTGATACACCTACCCCCCTTTATATTAGCCGCTCCATTCTACCTTTAGCTGTCTCCCTCGCTCTTACAAAGTATCATTATACAACGTCACACTTGTGAGGGAATGTCGACTTACCGGTAAAATGCTATTGTTAATATTGGTTTGAGTTATCTGCTTCACAAATTTTGTTATTACTACCCCAAAGAAAACGTCCCTCCCCACCCCCACCTGATCATAAAACCAGGTTTATTAATGGAACCCTTTCAATGTACTTGGTCCCTCCTCTTCTGTTGTAACTTATCGTTCACCCCTCCCCCCACCCCCCCCCCCCCCCCAAAAAAAAAAACCCACCCAAACAAATTAGGGGCCGCAGAGGGGTCTGCCATTCTGCTATCACTAGCCCTCCACCACTTGGTCACAGGTTCAAGACTTATGTGGGGCCATAGGTTGGTGGTTTTTCTCCAGGAACTCTTGCGTTTCCATACCCTCAAAATCTTGCACATCCTTAAATGACCATAGCTGTTAAGAGGACATTGAACAACATAACCATTCAAAACATAAAATAGGCCCCCTCCCCTCAACCAGAAATATATAAATGGAACCCTCTTGTATGACTTTGTCCACCATGTAAATCAGTAAATAGTTTGCTGAACATTGTTTCCTTCCAAAATTTTCAAACTTCTTAGCATTGATAATTGTTAGATGGGTCAGTGGACTTCTTGCAGTTTAATGTAATGTATTCTGTATAAAAATATTGAAAGCAATAACGATCTGATATTTTTCCAAGCTTCTATATTTCACTTAGTGTTGCCACAATCTTCACATCAAATCATATTCCATTGTACATTCAATGCTAAAAATAAGGCTGGCCCAATAGTCTGAGACTTGTGAAATGTGCAGATGGACTAGTGGTTCTGAATTAAAGTATTCAATCCTATTTCATTGTATAAACATGTGAAAAAATGATTTAAAGAGATTTGATGTGAAGCTTATTATACAAAGCTGACAATACTTGATACAATAGGAGCTTGATTGGTGCCATGCTCCCCATGGCAAAAATATCTATATATAGCACAGGAAGATGAGCTGCTCAGCAGCAGAACCAGTATAATATATATCAGAAAAGGGGCTTGACTATGATCATCTGTTGGTAGTTTTAGTGGAAACTAGAAAAACAGAACAGACTGTAGGTAGCTATGTTCCTTTTATTTTATTTTAGTTTGCAAAACAAACTAAACAAGATTGGACAATTCAAAGATAAACAGAAATATAAGACATCTTTACTTTTGAATATTTATTCTTGAATTTAACATTTTTTTCTGTGAGAAATTTTTGGAATTTTTATGCGGAGCTACAGGAAGTGGCTAGTGCTAGGAGGGAGTTTGTTGTGGATCTGTGTTGAAAGAGGAACTTTACGTTGTCAGAATGTTTCGGAAGTATTTCGGTGTTTACAAAGATGGAGACTGATGTTGATCACTCTGAAGGGTTCAGATTCCTGCACTTACATCTGTCAAACAAAATTTAGCCACTTATACAAGATGTTAAGTTTAGAAGATTACAATATAACTGTTTATCGTACTTATCTAGATATGTTCGTCTATTGTCCCGTAAGAGAGACATCTCTTGTTAAAGACTTTTCCAGCCTTTCAAGAAATGCAGGGATCACATTACTAATTCAGAGGTCGAATTTATCAGTATGATGTAATATACAAAAGTTAAACTAGAAAAAATATTATGTAAGTAATTAGTGCAATATATAGCATTCCTACTTTCACAAGTAGATCACAGGTTTTATTGGGACAAGGGTCAATAGTATTGACCTTTGACCTTGGTCAGGGGCTGTAATGATGTCCCATCTGACATGTATCTGCTGTCTACGTCGGAGAATGCACAAGTCGTACCAACATGGGTATGAGGAGGCCATGCTACCTGTAATTATTTTCTTTTGTTTTCTTCTTCATTAACAAATCATTTGTTCTTAATCACTGTCAAACCTTTCAATATAACAAATGCTGATTGTTATACATGTAATCTCCAATACCCTGCATGTCTTTCTTGTAGTAATGTTTTGGTTCATGACATTTATTTATTAGATTTTAAAATTCATATATATATCAACCAAATTAAAATATTCTTCTAAAAAAAAAAATTGATCATAGTTATGACTTTGACAGAACAGATCTGCATTATTATGGACTTGAAACAGACTTCTGCAAAATCTTTTCAAAACTATTACAATCTTTCAAATAAAAACTGGTAATGATTCGGTGGGGAAATATAATGTGTCTTAAACAAGTTTGAATTTTACAACATTTTCATAAAAAGTGCATAAGCAAGTTTCACAAATATAACATATATTGAATACAAACAAGTTAATATTCTTTTAATCATATTATTAAATCACAAAATTAACAGACAGATGTTTCCCCAAAAGTTTGACCTGAAAAGGAAAGGAAATATGCTACGTATTTACTATTTATGACGTCTAATGTCACCCAGGTACAAAATACTAGCCGTTTCCTACCGACTCTGTCAGGGAAAATTTCTCTTTAGCTCACCAGAGGTCCTGCGTTTGTCTCCTAGTGGAGGCATTGACAAAAAATGGCCTCTGTTACATTGGCAACCAAGTAGGAACCCAGAAAGGAATGACAAAAACAGATCTAGCAATTCTTGCAAAGGAATCGCTATAACCCATGGAAGACGAAGACTCCGGACAAGTTCTTTCCTGGGGGGGGCGGGATGTTGCCCTGGTAAAAAAATGCTAGCTGCTTTCTACTGACTCGGCTAGGGCTCTTGAAAGTTTATATTAAGGTCTATTACATTACACGACAGCTTAAGCAGGTGAGACCATCAAAGACAGTGTAAGAACAGTGTTGCTTTTATTCATGGAATGGAATGACACACATGTCTGTGACAGGGTAACGCAAAATGGTGGTACTGATTTATACAGCTAAGCAGACTATAATGCAGTAGAGTTAAACACAGACAGTGATGCCAATGTTGACATTTGTGCAGACTGTGTACAGTTACTGTCAGAGGATTAAACACAGATGGTGGTACTGATTTATGCAGCTGTGCAGACTGTTTACAATCACTGTCAGAGGATTAAACACAAATGGTGGTACTGATGTATACAGCGCGGCAGACTGTTTACAGTCACTGTCAGAGGATTAAACACAAATGGTGGTACTGATGTATTCTGCTGTGCCCGTGGCGTTTTACAAATCTAGCTTTTTATCGTCCATAGTATTTCTCAACAAACTCGTTTATCTCAATCAGAATGAAAACAAATTCATTGTTTACATTGGTAGACACGGGAAACATGTACACTTTAGTTAAAAGTTCACCGGCGTACTTATACATTACCCACCACCGATCTGAGGAAATTCAATAAAAAATGTCGGGCTTGAAATGGAATATATCGTAGTGTGTTTGCATTTGATTGAGATAGCTTTCTCTGTGTATGGAGGTTATTGATAAAGTAGGTTTAAGTTTGCATCAAACAGTTACACTCCAGAAATATGTTGGTGTATGTTTGTGTAAATGTTTCTCCGATAATGTCAGTCACTCTGTAAACCTTTGATATGGGGGGGGGGCATCTGTAGATTTACATTAAAAACTCAGACATTGCTAACACTATATCATTCATTATAGAGGTCACAAAACAGGAAGCAATACTTTACATATTTCTCCATATATATGGTTATACAATTGAAAGTGCTTATAAAAAGACTTGGGGCATTAAGGGTCATTTTTGGCCTCATTGAAAGTGAAAATTTGAATTTGAATTTATTTACAAAGTTCTGTTATAAACATCATATTGACAAAATTGCGTTGATATGCAGAAAGAGCCAACATACGGTGTTTTTGGACAGTTAGCAAGATTTTTTAAATAATTTATATCTTGAACAAGAAATTAGATTTGAGCACAAAATCCATGCTTGAACATGAGAACGGTTTCATGAATATGGTCCCTGTTTTTTTTGTTTTTTTATAGTTTCATCTTCTATATATATATACATGGGAGCGTACTCCAAGTGAAACATCCCAATGACTCTGAAGTAGCATTCTTCTACGAAACTCCCTCCTTTGTTATCCAATAGGATAAACAACACAAAAATAAAAACTGTATTTCCCAGCGACATGGGTACCGACTGATGTTTATTTATAACCACCACGATTAATAAACACAATTACACAATAATATACATCTCACACACCATCATATAATTCCAAACCTATTTATCTCAATATTTAAATACCCCTTAGAGATACATGTCTGTTCCTTGTTACCTGTGTCACCTGAATGACACCCATAGGTAACAACTCAGCCCGTTTGCATGTGCACATACCACCAATAGCGCCACCTACTGGTGTATCTCAAACTTAGCGAAAAAATAATTACATCCTAACTCAATCGGATGACATTGTATTATAACCAGTGCAATGGTGCCATTTACCTGAACTTTATTAATGGCGGAGAACGTTTGATATTCAAAGGATTTTTGATATCTGGGAAGATTATGCCAAATTGTGAACTACTAAATAAATATCTGAGGGGCTATCTGTCAGATTAAATTAAACATCATTTAATCAACTTGTTTTTAATCTTTTTTTTTTTTTTCAGATTTCAGGAAATGAGATGACAACAGTATCAGGGCCAAATGGCCAAACAGACTCCCAGGTATGATTATAATCACCCATAATTCCATGATATCTAATAATATACATGACACCGTGCAGAAATGATCGAAACATTCAAGATAATACAGGAAATATATACGACAGCGATTTATCAAAATGTGGAACAATGTAACGGAAAGAAACAGCAGCAGAGGCCACTCGTGTAAGATATACCCACAACAAGCTGTAACATATATAAAAGAAAGAACTAGTTTACAGTCAGAGTGGTGAACAATTGGAATAATTTACCATCAGAGGTAGTAAACGCACGATCCTTAAATTCATTTAAGAATAGACTAGATAAATGCTGGAAAAATCAGGTAAAATTATATAACTTTAGAGCACCGATTGAAAGCGGACTTCAAGTTCGGTGCGATACAACGATCAAGTCCAGTGGATAGGAACTATAGAGGCCCTGTACTGGAAACTAACTCTAAGAAACTCTAAATAATATTAACCTGCATAATGAATATCAGGCCAATACCGGTAGTTTTAAAACCCAGGTAGCAATTCAAATTTGGAAAGGTAGGAAAGGAAAATAATTTATTTTGTCAGACAAATGTCACTTTGGTACTCGGGTTTTAATACTATGTTTTGATAGGTAATGCATGCTTTGATATTTTTCATTGTCAGGTGTAAACATTTTCAATGTTTTGGATAAAACAAAATTGTTAAGCATTAACAGACAATTGACTAAATGGTAGAATTTGAAAATTTAACATTAAAATGAAATAATCCTCAAAATTTCATTTAAGATTTTGAGTATTGGCTTTATTTTATGGTTGGTCAGGTTTAGGCAAACAGTGATATGGTGTATTTAACATTTACATCCAGTATTCATGTAAATGACATGATGAATGTATATAAATTCATTCACCCCTCAAATTTCATGATGAACTATTCCAACTTTTGTATAGGAAGAGTTCAAGTGTATCTTCAGAGGTAAATGAGTTAACCCATTCGATATATTTTTGTAAAATCATGCAGTTTGCTGTTACTTTGGTTTTCCAGTGCTCTTTGACATATTTTATGCATGCATATATGCAAGATGGAATGATTTATATGTGAATTTCTCAACTTTGAAATAAATATTTAAAACAGCTTTTTATGAACAGTGGGTTATCAATTAAGTCTGTTTAAAATACAAATTCAGAATCAACAGCAAAAATAATTTCAACAATATCAGAAAGACAGTTGTAACATTCTGTAAAACTTTTGCCTAAATATTATAATTTAACTGTTTAGTTTTGTCTCCAATGCAAGGTATAATTTATTTACATGTCAATAAAAATCAACTAACAGGCCCTTTGGGTAAAGCGCTAATACAACTTGTGAAACATCATATTAAGTGTGTAACTTTGATATATGCATTTGTCACTGTTAATGACATGCACTGTGTTTTGTTGAACATGTTATGTACGTGTGCCGTGCTCCGTGTAGTATACTCGCTGTAACCCTGTGACTACTACGGTATTTGTAAGGTTAGCAAGCAACAATGGTTTAAATAAACATAAAAAAGTGTTTAAAGGCCATCAAGTCAATCTTGTAAGGATATTCTATAGGGATTTAAAATTCCTTTGTGTCAGTGTTACAATATTTAAATATAGATCACTCCGGTATTAAACGCCGGTGGGTTTTAAATCCAATGAGGTGAACAAATGTACCAAAACTCTCCATGACATGGCACTAGATACTGCATTCATTGTAATACATGGCACTAGATACCGCATTCATTGTAATACATGTATTAGATACTGTATTCATTGTAATACATGTATTAGATACTGTATTCATTGTAATACATGTATTACTGAGCTCCAGTTTCATGATTTCAGGCCATCCTTGAGGAAGAACATTTTCATATTGCAAATCCTGTATGTTCATGATATCATCAAGTTTACCAAGTCTTGCTTTGAGACATGAAGGTTTTTTTCATGGTTGTATGCGTGCATGCAGGTAAAATTGTCTGAAATGACAGGACATTTTGTCCTGATATACATGTATGACTTTATTCAGTGTTTGTTTAAATATCACATCAAAATGAACAAGAAAATGACCCTGAATATTTGAAAGAAATATCATGTGTATGTGATTTCAATGTTTTTGAAAATTTGAATACTTTTGACCTCCATTTTAAAAGACTTAGACAAACACTGGTTATTTTTGCTTTCCTACAAAAAGACATGGAACTCACCTTTCTATGCCCAATGCATTTTTGAACATGATGGCATATTCATCAGCTTTTGTTATCCCCCCAATCAAGATCGTATGGGAAAACGTTTTTGTCTGTCTGTCCCAACTTTGTTTACACACAATAACTGTGATTCAAATCTACTCAAACTTCAAATAATTTGGCTTCCTCATAGAAAGCACTTACTTGGACTTGCTTTTCAGGTCTAAAGGCTTAAGGTCAAGGTCATTGCTTTTATAAATAGAAATTTTGGTTTGTGCTTAATAGCTGTCGTTCCTGTAGGCTGAATCACTCAAACTTCATATACTGTTTTCACATGAAATGTGCAAGCTTAGGATAGCTTTCAGATGTGAAGGTCAAAGGCCAAAGTAACTGGTATTATAAAAAGAAAATAGGTTCTTGTGTAATAATTGATGGGTGCATATACCTTTAACACTCAAACTTCATACATTACTTTTTGACCTAAGTGCTTGCTTGGGATTACTATTTTGATCAAAAGTTTAAAGGTCAAGGTCACCACTTCTATAAGAAGAAAATTGGTTTGTGCTCATTAGCGCAATTTCTTGTTGACCGAAAAACACTTAAACTTCATAGACTGCTTTCTCAAAGAAAGTGCTTGCTTTAGGAATATTGCTTTTCATGTCTGAAGATCAAAGATCAGTTTCACTATTGCTATAAATAGATACAATGTAATATCTTTCCATAAAATAACTCAATTGGACAATTATAAAAGTCTATTTTTCTACACAGCTTCCTTACCAAAGATGCTCCATTGGTATTTCTTTTCAAGTTGAAAGGTCAAATGTCAAGACCACTGTAGATAATTTAGTTTTACTAGGAATATGTAGGAATATTATTGTAGATACAACGCATCAGCATTATCAGTCAGAAATTAAAGGAGCTTGAAAGCCAGGGGAGGATACAGATGTGAAGTTTAATATCATTGATTCACGATACTTTTTACTTTTGTAGACACCAATGATTAACATTGAATGATAGACAGTTTTGTTTTTTTGCACATTTCAATTTTTTCATTTCATAATTATGCAAGATAAAAATGAGTTACAAATTGGCTGACATATGTCAATGATCACTTATACTAGGAATTCTTATGAGAATAGAAACACCTGATTTTGAATAAATTTTCTGAAATTTGAAAAATCTGAAAAATGTTGTTGTACTAGTAGATGTAAAACTATAAACTCTTTATTTTTTGTGATTGCACAAGCAACTCTAAATTTTCACAAGGGTGACTTAAATTTGCAAATTGAAGTACACATTATGAACATGTCTTGTTTAAATGTGTCAGAAACTGTGAGATGTTTTTATTATATATTTATATAAATACAAGGACTTAACTTTACAGTATAAGACAGTTAAAATTTGCTCTGTCTACACATTGCAGACTTATTTAGAAGGGGTTTCTGGGCGGTCCACTACATACCTGGTGTGGTCAGGTGTACATACCTGGTAATTGCAATACACATACACCTATATACATAAACGATTGACCCCTGCAGGTGTATACTGGTATAGATATATGGAAACATTTGAACCTATACTTGAATACCACCCTAATATACACGGCCCTCTTGTGTGTTAGCAAGCTATATTTACCTGTCTGAGCTACTAATGAACACATACCTTTGTACAGGTATTCAGGTAGATTAGATTAGTTACCTGTAATTGACGACCTGTATCTACCTGTGAATAATTTATCGTAGATTTCGTAGTGATAATTGATACAACTCCGAGTATTGTTTGTTCAACAAAAAAAAAGCTGTACAAACTATACTAACTCCTTGAATTATTGACATTCCAGCCTAACAGTTTATATGTAATAACATTTAGCTCAAAAATGCATCTGTGTAGTAATTATAAATTATTATTTTGTGTTTTAAATTTAGATTCAATCAAAATAATAAAAAAAACAAAAAAAACCCCAGTGTTAATGAGTTTAGAGATTTGGTGGTTATAATGTGAAAAAAATCTGAAAATCCAAACAATTTTGTAATTGTTTTGTTATATATCAATTTTTTACTGAAAATCTAAACTTACAAAGAGAAAATGATTGAAATGAGATTTATTTGTTTGATATAATTGATAAATGTTACATGGACCATGATATAGGCATAATGAATTCAAATTACCTTTTTTTTTCAGATTTTAAAAAAATCCTTAAATCTCGGTCTTTGTTTTGCATAAAAAGGTTGTTTAATACATCTTTGGAATCAGTTCTTTTCTGAATGGATTAGAGACAAGATTAAATATGATACTATATGTAAATGACTATTACAAAGTTTCTACAAGGAACATAACAAATTAAGCCGCGGTCACATCTCGCGGTCACATCTTACGGTCACGGACGTTTACATAGTTGACCGTAGTAGGGGGTGACCGTAGTTGATTGTAGTAGACCATAGGTGACCTTGGTTAATTGTATTAAATGTAGTAAGACGTAGTTAGAAGTAGTTAGACGTACTAGTTCAATGTAGTTTGAACTTCAAGAAACCAATGATTTGGCGTGGGTTAGCCCAAAAATTTTCAACATGTTCAAAATATCTCTATGGTGAGTTTGGATGCCAAGACCCTACTGTGACTGTATTTTGAATGTAGACCCTAGTTGACCGTAATTGACCCGTTGACAGTAGTGTTTACCGTAGTTGACCGTAGTAACATGGCACTAAGCTTAAGGTTAATAATACGGTCAAGTCGGGTCAAATAGGGACAACTACTAGGGTTGGACTAGAAGTACGTTCACAGTACTATTAAGTACGGTTAACTAGCATCAACTAGGGTCAACTAGGGTGCTGATGAGTGACTCCCTTAATTAAGGTTTATAACTATGTTGAACTACGTCTAACTACGTTTAATACATTTAACTAAGGTCGCCTACGGCCTACTACAGTAAACTACAGTCATCCCCCACTATGGTCAACTACGTGCATGACCGTAAGATGTGACCGCAGTGTAAGTCCAAGCTTTTGGGCTCATTCCTTCATCATGATATAGGCACTTCCTGTATTCAATTAGGGATGTGACACAAGGGTGAGGACCATTCACTTTTATCAGGAATAGTTATATTGCAATGTAAACAAAATATAATAAAAAAACAGTGTTCTGAATGTAAAACATTACCATCGAGGCTAAACTAGGATTCAAACCCTGGACTTTAGATTGATGATATACCATAGACAGAAGTGCCACGGCCCAACTGCGCTACAGTTATATCTAAACGAAAGTTAAGGGGAGGTAACTGCAAATAGGAAAAAACACAATGTAGTGGGACAGGGATCCTCTGGACTATTCTTATTCAAATTATTCTTTCTCTGTACAATTTCATTCCAAACAGCATTTGGTTTGCCAAAATTTCTTCCATAAATATGTACACATTTTCAACACTAAGTACAGTAAGGGTGCAATAATGTTAGATTTTGATAATTGCTTTTCCTGAAGGACATTTCTTCTTTTTGTCATTCCTATATTTGTATGTACTTCCTGTTTCAGGATGACATGCCCAGTGGTGCCATCAGTACAACTGATGAGGGCATCTCCCAGCAACTTGAGCATGTCACACAGATGCATGCAGCGGCTGTCAATGGCGACAAACCCTTCCTGGCCAGACTCATTCTCTGTGAGTCCAATTCCTTCCAGCAAATATATCTAAAAATATCTATAGGATCTTACATCTTACATGAGTTTCCATTTCATATGAGATTTATGAAACAAGTCAAAGAATTTTTCAATTTAGGCGAGCTAAAATGAAAAAAACGTGACAATTTTCATGAATTTCATATGAAATGAAAATGAGTGTAAGATCCTTTTTATCACATAATCAAGATATGTGGCATTTATTCGTGCAAAACGACAATTTTGACTCAAGTGCGTAAGTCTGTGACGTCATGTACTTGTCCTAGGCGTGACGTCACAATTAAAACAATTGAAACTTACAACCAATCACAGAGCTTATAGGTCATATTACATGGGTTAATACACAAACAAATATGACATGGGTATATTCACTGGATAATACAGTACATTATGTGATGAAAAAAGATAATGGCCTGTCAAAGACTGGAAGAGTAAATCATAATAATGATAGTTTTCAGCAGAGACTTGAACATTACTGTACAATTGTATCTTCCTTGGGTGTTACATATCAGTAATTCACTGCCAATTTGTCAGATATTTTTCTTGCATTCATTAAGGACTGTCCACTTGTGATTATTAATGACAAGTGATATATGTATTTGCCACTTCATCTTTAAATAATTATTGGCAATTCTGGTATCTTTTTCTAAATCCAGCAATCCACTGCCAAATTACAAAAAATGACAATGGATATAAGTTCATTAGTTTGTCTCAGATTTGCATGCAATAATAATTTCTGAATTTGTAAATCAATTTTGTTGTCACAGCCAATGGATCAGATGTGGACACAGGTGACCAGTTCGGCCGAACGCCGCTCATGTTCTGTATCCTGGCTGACCGACTGGACTGTGCGGAACTCCTCCTCAAGGCCGGCGCTCAAGTCAACAAAAAGGACAAGGGTGGAAGAGCTGCTCTTCACTGGGCCGCTCACAAGGTAAACTTAATATGTACTGGCATAGTGTACTGCATGTATACTGCCAAGGTATACTTCATGTATACTGCCAAGGTATACTGCAATAGCATACTGCATGTATACCGCCAAGGTATACTGCATGTGTACTGCCAAGGTATATTGCATGTATAGTGCCAAGGTATACTGCATGTATACTGCCAAGGTCTCTAAATAAGGTATATTGCATGTATACTGCTAAGGTATACTGCATGTATAGTGCCAAGGTATACTGCATGTATACTGCCAAGGTCTCTAAATAAGGTATATTGCATGTATACTGCCGATGTATACTGCCAGAGTATTCCGCATGTATACTGCCAAGGTAAACTGAGTATACTGCCAAGGTATACTTCATATATACTGCCAAGGTATATTTCATGTATACTGCCAAGTATACTACATGTATACTTCCAAGGTATATTGCACACATATGCACACATACTGTATGTATACTGCCAAGGTAAACCGCATGTAAACTGCCAAGGTATACTACATGATTTGTTTTGCTACATGTATACTGCCAAGGTATACTTCATGTATACTGCAAATATATACTGCATGTGTACTTCAAAGGTATACTACATGTGTACTTCCAAGGTATACTGCAAGCACATTGCCAGGGTATACTGCATATATACTGCTAAGGTATACTGTATGTATACTGCCAAAGTATATTGCATGTATACTGCCAAGGTATACTGCATGATACTGCCAAGGTATATTGCATGTATTCTGTCAAATTTTTGACTGAGCGGAAGTTTCTTGGTATACAGTATATAGACTGAATGAATTGTAATGTATTGGAATAGGGCTAAAGTTTAACTGGGTGAATGTTTCCTGGTGTCCAGTATACTACCAATTACAGTACTGGTAAAATGAATTGTAGTGTATCGGAGTAGGACTAACGTTTAACTGGGTGAATGTTTCCTGGTGTCCAGTATACTACAAATTACAGTACTGGAAAACTGCATATATACAGTCAAGGTATACTGCATGCATGTTTAAATTACTGCTCAGGAATGCTTCACGTATACTTCTAATTAAAGGCATTCTCCGTGGGAAGGTCCAAAGACTGGGGAAGGAGGGTGGGTGAGAGTATTATAAATGTTCGTAAACATGATATATTGAGGTAAAATATGATTCACAACCTGCATTCAAGGGTTTGTACAGGCATTGAAAAGGCCCTTAAACAAAGGATTGGCCCTAAAAAACCTTAAGTTGTTGAAATGGCCCTAAAAGCCCTTACATTTAAAATGTCTTGAAAGGGTAACAACAAGCCTTGAATTTGATGAGATGGTAATTAAACTGTGATTGTACAGTTATATATAACTTTTAGAGGTTTTGTGGTGTAATTCTCATAAAAAGAAATTCTGAAAAAACAGGAAAATGAAATAGTTGTTATGAGTTAATTTCTGAGATTTAGGACTACCGACCAGTGTTAGATTGTAGGATTTGTTTGATGTTTATACAGTGAATTTAGAGACGTCCAGATTACACATATAGATGTCTGTAAATTGAGAATTTGTAAAAAAAAAATTCTGAAAAAGGCCAATAAAAGGACCCAAGTGAGCCTTGAATTTCATAGTAAAAATACTGTGCGGCTATGGTGTGTATGAGTATATATGAAATGTTTGAACTAAATATGTCATTAATTAGCATGCTCTGTTATGATAGTACACACGATCAGTAAGTCATATTAATATTCTCTACAGACCCAAAACTGGGTATATGAAATGAGTATGGTTAACATGAAATGTGTATGGAATGTTTAGGATGAGTGTACTGTGAAGTATGTTATAGTCTCCCAAATATTGTCATGTGTATGTGCTTTGAAAAATTGAATAAAAATATATATAAAAAAAAAATACAAAAATTCTGTGCAGACCCTGAATTTGGAACATATGAGTAATATGGTTCTGTGGCTAAATTATTTAAAAATAATGAACAAATGTCACTCTAAGTCCCAATACTTTGGGTTCCTGGCCTTCTTCAAGGGCAACGTCAACAATTGTTTCAAGTAACGTCCATTTTGTTGACTCTATGACATCAGAACGTGCTGTCAAAAAAACAAAACATCAAGGTAATGTTGAGTGAAATCTCTCCTGTCAGCAGTCTCTTTGTTTATTACCTTAGAGTGATATGTGTTCTATATTGTTTTATGTACAGTTAGTTGAAGCAACAAAATGTTCGGTTTTGTTATTTGAAGGGAAATTTCCGGTTGTTGAAATTGCTGTTGTCCAAAGGTGCAGACTGTCGGGAGAAGGACAGCGAAGGTCAAACAGCACTGCATCTGTGTACGCGACATAAGTCGCCAAAATGTATGGCACTGTTGCTACGGCAACTGTCGCCAGGGGAACTGGATAACCAGGATAAAAGTAAGGTAGGTGACTTGTGTTTCTAAGGGAATTGTGTGCCTTGATTGATATAATGTTGATTAGAAATTATCACAAGGTCTAGATCTGCAGTAAAACACAATAACAACAAACCCGGGGTATGTATTATAAGAAGGTTGCAATCAGCAAATTTTGTTACAGAGCTGAATATTCAAGTGCATGGGGACAAGGTGCTCACTCACAGTATAATATAGTTGTAATAAACATGTTTTAAATAAGTTAATTGGAGGAGGTTCTTAGGAGGTTCTTATATACCGCTTCATCACAACCTAGTTCGTAGGTGGTCTCAAAGCGGTTCACAAGTTATTATCCGTGGTTATACGGCTTTTGCAACCAGCCAATACATTTCTCAACTCCCTGGGGAGCATACAGCTGGAGCTGCCATTTCGGCGCTAACAGCTAGCATTCAACAATTCTAGCACTGCCCAACCACGTACTCATTTACAGCTGAGTAGACTGGAACAAACGTAGTAAAGTATCTGTCCCAAAGATACAACACATTGCAAAGTGTTAACCTCGTATGATATCCTAACGTAAAATTATATCATAACTTTTTTCTATTTTTTTCTTTTTATAGAAACCTTTCCATTTATTGGTAAGCCCTGATTCTTGTCAGTTTAAATGTTTTCAACAATGATTTTTCTCCGTATTTTTAGAGGACAGCACTTCACTGGGCAGCTTCATATGGAAACATGGAACATGTAAAAATGCTGATTAAACAGGTCAGTATATTTCTGTCCTACTCTTCCACTGTTAACTAGTTGTGTAACGGGACATTTTTGCTGCAGTTTAATTTTTGCCTTTTTCACCCTCTTGAATGAGGGCAAATTTATCATTACAGCAGACACTAGTTAACAACATAAGTTACTTAGTAACTAAATGTGAAAGGGGAAATTAACACATGACGAATTTGGAATTTACAGGCTAAGGACGAAAGTTTGATTGGGCAAACATTTTCCCAGTATACAGTTATTATGCAGGCTTTAACTATTCCAATTTGGATTAAATATTAAAAATTTAATATGCATCAATTGAATTTGTATTTTGATCTTGACATGTGATATTGATTAAAAGGAAATGGAGATCAAAATTAAAGACAGTTTTTTTTCATTAATTTCGTATATCAGATACACGCATGCAATTAAGATATTTAGAATTAACATCACACATTTTTAGCACTGATTTTAATCTCAGAAAACATTGAGGTAGGTGTCAATGTTTTGTTGAGACCCACAGATATGTCACTTGTTTTTGCGGGGTATGTGTGTAATCTTATTATCCACTATCATCCCCAAAGAAATATCCTGTAATTTTTTCTATGATATTTATTACATAAAAAATAATCTTTGTAGATCCCCATGTCTAGAAATATTGTCGGTTAAATAAATAATAGAAATAATTGTGGTTAGATTGGATGTTAAATTTGTTTCTTCTGCAGCTTGATAATGTTTACAAACATATTTTTTTGTAGGATTCTAACATTGGTATTCCTGACATTGATGGGAAGACCCCACTTCATTGGGCGGCCAGTAGTCGGGATAGAGATGCTGTTAACTGTGTTAGGATCATACTGGTAAGTCATACGTGTTTATACAGGTCATACGTCTGTAATTCACCTTTCAGTAGGGGTCACCTGTCTGCAGGGGTCACATGTCTGCATAGGTCACCTGTCTGCATAGGTCACCTGTCTGCATGGGTCAATTGTCTACATGGGTCACCTGCCTGCATGGGTCACCTGTCTACTTGGGTCACCTGTCTACATGGGTCACCTGTCTGCATGGGTCACCTGTCTGCATGGGTCACCTGTCTGTAAACATGACCTGTTTATTGAGAACACTTTCTTTATTAGACACCTGTCGGTGAAAATGACTTATCCAAAGGATCACCTGTTTGTGTCAAATCATTATATAATTGGAGGTTTTATGCGTAAGCAAATTTTCAGGTCATTCTACCTGAAAAGAGCCAAAGAAATTAACTTTTGACCCAAATTAAAATGAAAAATTTAACCTGAATTCAAATGAAATTTTGTTGTTGTAAATTTGACATGAGATCACACTTTACTTCATTAGAACAAGTACTAATAATCTGCTGTAAATTTTAGGATAATATCATAGTTAATATATTTTTTTTTTTTTTTTTTTAAGTTGAGAATCCAATTTCATTGGTTATTTGTGCTTTATATATAGCTTATATATAACTTAGGTATATTTTTGCATTTTTGTGTAAATATTGATAAAACACTTATCAACCCGTTGAACTTTAGTGTTACCATAGCAACAAGAAACTGGTGACCATTGCTTCAGTATCATTATGATGTGACCTCACCTTTTGTTTCCTAGGAGACGACTCCTAGCGTAATTAACTGGCAGGATTATGAAGGTCGTACTGCCCTTCACCTTGCGGTTGCAGATGGTAACGAGGCAGTCGTAGTAGCACTGGTAAGTGGAATAATGGCTCGATCTTCTCTTTTTCTTAACAACTATTTGTATATGTAAACTTTATTTCTTTTACAACAATTATGAAACACGTTATGTAAAATTATATTAATTAATCACTTTTGTGGGGGGGGGTTAATGGTGGAGGAAACTGGAGTACCTGGTAACCCCGTATATTTTTTTATCCAGTTGGGGAATCTAACTCCAGTCGCCTTGCAGTGAAAAGCGAGTGCATTATTCACTGCGCTGTCTGATTGCCCATTTGAAATTTAAAATCCAATTTCATTTGTCATTTGTGCTTTATAAACTTAGGTATGGTTTGGCATTTTTTGAAGTTGATGTATTCTTAAATTAATTGTGAAAAGAAGTTTGAGTTTTCTTTTTCATGTTTCAGACATCTGTGGAGAACTGTAATGTGTCGGCGCTGGATAACATGTTTAGGACACCCTTACATTGGGCGGCTGTGCTAGGTAAGTTTGGGATTTGTGTTAGAGTTATCTCCCTTTTAAAGAATCATTCAAAATTGTTTTTCATGTATTATTATGTAGAATTCAAATTTGTTATCAATCAATTAAATAAACCCAATTCTCTCAGACATGAGGTTTATATCACAAAAATGTTGCTTATATGTATCCTGAAGTAAGTTAATTCAGTAAGATTAAATCAATGTTTATAGAAACGGCAATATGATTGAAATCCATTAAATTTCAACACCTTTAACCAAACATTTACAAAATTGACTGAATATTCTTCACTTATGTATGCAAATTTCAATTTGTTACTATTGGAACCGTTTTTAAAACACAGATATTTCAATAATAATATGTGGCAGATTTTAATTGTACATAGCTAGGATTATGGTCACCTTCTAGCTTTGAGCTAGAGGGAATTACCCTTTAGCTCAGTGGTAGGGGATTCGACAGCTAGTAACCTTGAGATTGAGGGTTCTTTCGTGTTATAAATGGTGTATGTGGCCCTCCCTGTGGTGACAGGGAGTTAGAATCTGTATTGTGGTATTCCAGGGCAAATACATTTAAAAAGGGGGGAGTAGTGTGGCAGATTTTAATTGTACATAGGATTAGGGTCACCTTCTAGCTTCCAGCTGGAGGGAATTCCCCTTTAGCTCAGTAGTAGGGCATCCAACTAGGAATCTAGGGATCACAAGTTTGATCCCCAGTGAGGCACACTACTCTCTTTCCTGTTACAAATATAATAATATGGGGGAAGTATTCATTTAAAAAGTATTCAGTTATATAACAGTTACATGAAAAGTTTCAAATTTTGATGGGATCAGGAGACATGAGAAGCCCTTCACTTACATAAACCTATACAATCGTTTCCTGGTAAAAACAACAAAGAGTTCCACCTTGTTTGACACTCCTTATATGAATAGTTTGTCTTTCAGTTTAAGAAATCATATAGAAAATTATATTTTTGATGAATGACACTTAACACTTGCCTTACAGGTCATTCAAAGATTGTCGGTCTCCTACTTGATAACGGTGCGGACTACGCCAGCTCAGACTCCAACGGTGCTACTCCCTTACACTACGCAGCACAGAACAACTACGATGTAGGTCAAGGTCAAGGTCAAGGCTATGGTGTGGGAAGGGACCTCACCGATGATATATTGATGTTTAGATATGCATTGGCAATTATGTCACTATTTTTTGAAAACATGGTTTATTGGCAACTCCCATTAATTCAAGACTTTAATGTTTGGTCTGGTAAGGACAGTACTACACATTACCTCCCTTCGCTGGTTTTTTTAATTTGTGCAAAATTGTCAAGTATTTATTTATTAAATCGTTCACCCCTAAAGTCACATTTGAACCTTACCCAATCAAAGGCTGGGCAAGTCCATTTTAAAAATGTAGGGATGAATGAGTTATGACTTCCACTTAAGAAAATTGGTCTCAAAAACTTCTGTAATTTACTTGGACAGGGCTGAAAGGAAACAGATACTGTGAAATTATACAAGTTTTGATACATTATATCATTTTGGACATTTTGAAAAATTTTGAATCTTCAGCAGCATTTGAGGAAACAAAACCTAATATAAAAGGTTAACTGGATTAGATTGTGACCCTTTCTGTTATGTATCTGTTGCTAACACTTTTCAGGATACTGCCGCTGTGTTTCTTTCGCGTAAAAATGTAACTGACGAACCTGATGTGGATGGCCGCACAGCATTTATGTGGGCTGCTGGGAAGGGTGCTGATGATGTCATTCGGATATTTCTGAAACACAACGTAGATATTCAACAGGTGGATAACAATGGTGGCACTGGTATGTGATTTTTTTTATTAATCTGTCAATTTGAATAATTTTCTGTCATCTATTCGAATGGTTTGAACAGCTTCCTCTAAAGAACTGAGACCTAAGACCATTTTATTTGTCTGGTAGCTATCCTGGATAAAGTGCTATAAAGTTTCTTCAAATCAATTATCCAATCCCCAATCACGGAAAGTGTTCTGATATATATTCTGCTGGTTAGCTTAATTAGCATATATTGCACGACGTACCATAATACAAGATTATTTTTTTTAACGGCGACAACGAACTGAAGTAAGGGAGATGGGCTTATTACCGGCACCAACGAACTGAAGTAAGGGGGATGGGCTTATTACCGGCATCCATTCTTTGCACGGAAAGTAAGGAAAAGTGGGGGTGGGCTTATTACCAGGCATGGGCTTATCACTGGTAAAATACGATATACAGACAAACTAGCTATGATATCCACGGCTACAGGCATGCAGATATATGCACTGCAGGCTGATAAGCTAGGTAATCCATGGCTACAGACATATAAACATACTTGACGCCACATCAGCTACAGTAAAATACCTTGATTATAGCTCCGTATGCTGTCTGTTTTCCATCTTTTTATATTTTAATTTAAAATGCCTTTCTTGTAGCTCTGCATGCTGCTTCTCTTTCTGGTCACCCTTCATCGGTCAAAGAATTACTTGACCACGGGGCACAACTAGATGCTACAGATCTCACAAAACACACGCCTCTGTTCCGAGCCTGTGAGATGGGTCACACAGATGTTGTACAAACACTCATAGACTTCGGAGCACGTGTAGATGTCTTGGATCAAGATGGCCGATCACCACTGCACTGGTAAAGCTCTTCAGGCAAAACTTCTCGATATGGGGTATAATTTCAAAAAAATATAACACATTTTTCTCAATCTCATATTTTGGAGTAAAACTTATGCCGGGTTGAGATACATCCAGAGTACATATGTACTGCAAAATCTTGTTGTGTTTTCAATTTTGCAGATTTTTGGGAAAAAATTGCTGTTTCATTGGAAACCTGAATTAAGGGAAAGTTATTCGACACTTTTATAAATCATATACTGTATGACGGGAAAATTTGGCTGCAGTTTTATTTTCACCTTTTTGCCCTCCGTAATGAGGGTGAATTTATCATTAGAGCAAACATTTATAAACAAAATAATATACATAGTATTTAAATGTGAAGGCAGAATTTCATATCGGGAGAAAATAGATTTTACCATGAAAGGTAAAACTTTCCGGTATATAGAAATCAATAGTTAATTGCTTTGTCAAGCCTATAGTATACTGGAAAACTGCTGCCAAGTCAAGCTTTCATCCATCACAGATAAAGTTGACATGTTCTCTATGTCTTAGTTTTGCCCTCCACATGCTACTACTATATATTGTATCGTAGTTATGCACTTATATTTGCTGTTATGATAATTTAACCATCATTATGGAGGGCAAAAGGGACGAAAATTAAAATGTGTCAAAAATTTCCCGGTAAACAGAGGAAGAAAACATTGTCCTCGGCTGACACATCAGTACATTTAGTCCTCGGCTGCCCCATCAGTACATTTAGTCCTCAGCTGACACATCAGTACATTTAGCCCTCGGCTGACACATCAGTACCTTTAGTCCTCGGCTGACACATTAGTACATTTAGTCCTCGGCTGACCCATCAGTACATTTAGTCCTCAGCTGACACATCAGTACATTTAGTCGTCGGCTGACACATCAGTACATTTATTTTTCAGCTGACACATCAGTACATTTATTCTTCGGCTGACACATCAGTACATGTAGTCCTCGGCTGACACATCAGAACATTTAGTCCTCGGGTGACACATAAGTACATTTAGTCCTCGGCTGTCACAGCAGTACATTTAGTCCTCGGCTGTCACAGCAGTACATTTAGTCCTCGGCTGCCCCATCAGTACATTTAGTCCTCGACTGACACATCAGTACATTTAGCCCTCGGCTGACACATCAGTACGTTTAGTCCTCGGCTGACACATTAGTACATTTAGTCCTCGGCTGCCCCATCAGTACATTTAGTCCTCATCTGACACATCAGTACATTTATTTTTCAGCTGACACATCAGTACATTTAGCCCTCGGCTGACACATCAGTACCTTTAGTCCTCGGCTGACACATTAGTACATTTAGTCCTCGGCTGACCCATCAGTACATTTAGTCCTCATCTGACACATCAGTACATTTATTCTTCGGCTGACACATCAGTACATATAGTCCTCGGCTGACACATCAGAACATTTAGTCCTCGGGTGACACATCAGTACATTTAGTCCTCGGCTGACACATCAGTACATTTATCTTAAAATTGTTGTACTGCAACCAAATTCTTGGAGAATATTAATTCTTGGTTCAATAAATAAAGAATGTATTTTAATTTGTGCGTAATATAATGTTCAGAAAAATATTTAATGGAAGTGTTTTAGAAATAATATTTTGTTGTTCTTTTCAGGGCTGCATTGGGAGGCCATGCATATATCTGTCAAACTTTAATAAAATATGGTGTAGATCCGAACATAAGGGATTATAATGGGTGAGTTATTATTACTTAAATTTTATTTACATCTTCGTCATTGTTTTCAAATATTTTTATTTTACCTTTCTTTGGATTCTATTGTAACACCATATTTTTAAATCTATTTTAATACACTCTTGACATTATTTTGACGTGTTGTGATTCTGATGTCGTGTTATTATGACATCATAGATTCGACTAGTCATTATGACATCATACTTTTTTGACGTCATTTCCTCTACTTTTGAAGAAGCTAGATGGTCGTAACTTGAGTTCATTGTTGACTTGTGCCCTTGAAGAAGCCAAGGAAGCTGAAATATTGGGACTAAGAGTGAAATTTATTCTTTATCTTTTCTCCCTATGAAAATCAACAGTTGTTTGTTATTGAAAAACAGTTTTAGACAAACATTAGAAAATTTTCATAATGCAATTTCCTGCTTGTAATCCGAAAATTGTTATTTTTGAAGCAGTGTTATTTTGGGATTAGTAATGGTGAATATTGAATTTAACCATTTCACCACTGCAGACCATGATGGACTCATCCAGATCAATACATGGGCGAGTCTACTAAAGTTTTATAGGGGTGAAAGGGTTAAGATGGTGGTGAACGGTTCTAGTCAAGTTTCTTACACGATAATTCTGAATAAAATCAAACTTTACTGTACCTCATTTATGTGAAGATATTTATTAGGGCCCCGTATCGGAGATACGGGTGCCCTATAGTAATAACTCTGTCTGTCTGTCTGTGTCTATCTGTCTGTCTGTCTGTCTGTCTGTGTCTGTCTGTCCACAAATTTTGTTTCTGGCTGATAACTTTGGTATTTGTTGACTGATGTACATGAAACTTGGTCAAGATGTTCAGTTCACAAAAATACACATTGAGGTAAAAAGTCAAGGTCATAGGTCAAGGTCATTAAGTTCAAAGGTCAAGGTCTAATTTTACATCTTTTCACTGATGAACATTTTGTTATGACATAATGAAGCAAAGTTGATCAGAATTAAACAAGGAGTCAACTGACCAAAGGTCAAGGTCATCGGGTCAGGGGTCAAGGTCAATTTTGTAGCTTTTTACTGGTGAACATTTCGCTATGACATTATGAAGCAAAGTTGTTCGGAATTAAACAAAGAGACACACTGAGGTAAAAAGTTGAGGTCAAAGGTCAAGGTCATTAGATTCAAAGGTCAAGGTCAAATTTTGCATCTTTTCACTGATAAACATTTTGTTATGACATGATGAAGCAAAGTTGATCAGAATTAAACAAGGAGTCAACTGACCAAAGGTCAAGGTCATCGGGTCAGGGGTCAAGGTCAAATTTTGTAGCTTTTCACTGGTGAACATTTCGCTATGACATTATGAAGCAAAGTTGTTCGGAATTAAACAAAGAGACACACTGAGGTAAAAAGTCGAGGTCAAAGGTCAAGGTCATTAGATTCAAAGGTCAAGGTCAAATTTTGCATCTTTTCACTGATGAACATTTTGTTATGACATGATGAAGCAAAGTTGATCAGAATTAAACAAGGAGTCAACTGACCAAAGGTCAAGGTCACTGGGTCAAAGGTGAAGGTTAAATTTTGTACCTTTTCCCTGATGAACATTTTGTTATGACATTATGAAGCAATGTTGTTCAGAACTTAACACAGAGTCAACTGACCTTAGGTCCAGGTTACGGGGTCCAAAGGGTCAAGGTCAAGTTTTGTATTTTTCACTGATAAACATTTTGTTATGATATTAAGAAGCAAAGTTGGTCGGAATTAAAGAATAAGTCAACTGACCAAAGATCAGGGTCACTGGGTTAATGGTCAAGGTCATTTGGGTCCAAAGGTCAAAGACAAAGTGGATCTCTGACTTTGACCCTGGCTCTTGATGGAGGAGGTATAAAAGGTGAAATAAAACAAATCAAAGCTAACAAATGAGTATTGCACCGGTATTTACATTTCTGTTAGCCCAGCAAATATGGAGGTGGAAGGAAACAAGACTCACATCATAGTACATGTAAAATGTATATTTTGCTTCCTTGCGATTCCTTTTGAAGTCAAACGTCAAGCTCAGCTATATGGGCAGATTGCTTCTTGATGATTATGGGGGATATATTGCCACAAGACGGGGCCCTTACTGACCTGTCAGTGTTCTAGTTGGTACTGATTTGTTTATTTTTGAGAGTTTAGAAAAGTTATCTCAAATATGCTTTTTATCTAAAAAATAAAATATGGTCTCGTTAACTTAATCAACAATAAGACTGTGATTGTTTCTGAATACAAACAGTTTTGGAGTACTTTTTGGTCCTTCTGTACGGGTGATTTCTAAACTCCAAAACATGCTGGGAATGGATATCCTCCAAACCAAAATGGAATGACTTTCTCATTGGGTTATGTATTAAAGTCATAGGATACAGTAACAGGAAAGAGAGTAGTGTGTTCCACCGGGGATCAAACCTGCAATCCCACACTTCCTAGTCAGACGTTCTACCACTGAGCTAAATGGAAAGCTATAGGAGGCCACTTTAATCCTATGTACAATTCACTGCCCCCTCCCCCCTCCCCACCCTTTAAATGTGTTCTACCTTGAACACCAAAAAATAAAAACTCACTGCATAAAGGACCATAGACACGATTTGTAACAGGAATGAGAGTAGCGTGCTTCCACCGGGATCGAATGCATGATCCCAGTTTTCCTAGTCAGACGCTCTACCACTGAGCTAGAAGAAATTTGACATTTGACTTAATGATACCCTTTGTTGAAAAACATCAGAATTGTGATGGTACACTAGTATCGAATTGATCCAACATGGCGTCCACTTGAGATACAAAATGATGATGTCATAAAAAAAATCATGAAATGGTGTCAATTTTTAGAAGACATTCAAGTGTTTAAATTGTTCTTTAAAACAACCAATGTTGTACCCTGGATTGTATATGTAAAATTGTTGTTTAATTTTCAGTCGAACACCTTTGCAGTGTGCAGCCTATGGCGGTTTTGTAAATTGTATGTCTGTTCTAGTCGAGCACAAGGCCGATATAAACGCTCAAGATTTGGAGGTAAGTGTGGTCAAGTGCAACTTTTTATTCAAATAATTTTCTCAAATTTAAAATATTTTAGTCTCTAACAGGGTTTCACTGTACACACAAACCAAAGTGTCCAGACTAACAAGATTCTACTGTACACACAAACCAAAGTGTCTAGACTAACATGGTTCTACTGTACACACAGACCAAAGTGTCTAGACTAACATGGTTCTACTGTACACACAAACCAAAGTGACTAGACTAACATGGTTTCATTTTAAACACAGACAAAAGTGTCCAGACTAACAGGGCTCTCTGTAGCACAAACCAAAGTGTCCAGACTAACAAGGTTCTCATGTACACACAAACCAAAGTGTCTAGACTAACATGATTCTACTGTACACACAAACCAAAGTTTCCAGACTAACAGAACTCTCTGTAGTACAAACCAAAGTGTCCAGACTAACAAGGTTCTACTGTACATGTACACACAAACCAAAGTGTCCAGACCTACAGGGCTCTCTGTAGTACAAACCAAAGTGTCAGACTAACAGGACTCTCTGTAGTACAAACCAAAGTGTCAAGACTAACAGGACTCTCTATAGTACAGACCAAAGTGTCCAGACTAACAGGGCTCTCTGTGTGAACAAACCAAAGTGTCCAGACTAACAGGGCTCCCTGTGTGTACAAACCAAAGTGTCCAGACTAACAGGGCACTCTGTAGCACAAACCAAAGTGTCCAGACTAACAAGGTTCTCTGTATGTACAAACCAAAGTGTCCAGACTAACTGGGCTCTCTGTAGTACAAACCAAAGTGTCCAGACTCACAGGACTCTCTGTAGTACAAACAAAAGTGTCCAGACTAACAGGGCTCTCTGTAGCACAAACCAAAGTGTCCAGACTAACAGGGCTCTCTGTGTGAACAAACCAAAGTGTCCAGACTAACAGGGCTCCCTGTGTGTACAAACCAAAGTGTCCAGACTAACAGGGCACTCTGTAGCACAAACCAAAGTGTCCAGACTAACAGGGCTCCCTGTGTGTACAAACCAAAGTGTCCAGACTAACAGGGCTCCCTGTGTGTACAAACCAAAGTGTCCAGACTAACAGGGCTCCCTGTGTGTACAAACCAAAGTGTCCAGACTAACAGGGCACTCTGTAGCACAAACCAAAGTGTCCAGACTAACAGGGCTCTCTATAGTACAAACCAAAGTGTCCAGACTAACAGGACTCTCTATAGTACAGACCAAAGTGTCCAGACTAACAGGGCTCTCTGGGTGTACAAACCAAAGTGTCCAGACTAACAGGGCACTCTGTAGCACAAACCAAAGTGTCCAGACTAACAGGGCTCCCTGTGTGTACAAACCAAAGTGTCCAGACTAACAGGGCACTCTGTAGCACAAACCAAAGTGTCCAGACTAACAGGGCTCTCTATAGTACAAACCAAAGTGTCCAGACTAACAGGACTTTCTGTAGTACAAACCAAAGTGTCCAGACTAACAGGAATCTCTGTAGTACAGACCAAAGTTTCCAGACTAACAGGGCTCTCTGTAACACAAACCAAGTACAAACCAAAGTGTCAAGACTAACAGGGCTCTCTCTGTGTACAAACCAAAGTGTCCAGACTAACAGGGCACTCTGTAGCACAAACCAAAGTGTCCAGACTAACAAGGTTCCACTGTTCACACAAACCAAAGTGTCCAGACTAACAGGACTCTCTGTAGCACAAACCAAAGTGTCCAGACTAACAAGGTTCCACTGTTCACACAAACCAAAGTGTCCAGACTAACAGGACTCTCTATAGTACAGACCAAAGTGTCCAGACTAACAGGGCTCTCTGGGTGTACAAACCAAAGTGTCCAGACTAACAGGGCACTCTGTAGCACAAACCAAAGTGTCCAGACTAACAGGAATCTCTGTAGTACAGACCAAAGTTTCCAGACTAACAAGGTTCTACTGTACACACACACCAAAGTTTCCAGACTAACAGGGCTCTCTGTAGCACAAACCAAAGTGTCCAGACTAACAAGGTTCCACTGTTCACACAAACCAAAGTGTCCAGACTAACAGGACTCTCTGTAGCACAAACCAAAGTGTCCAGACTAACAAGGTTCCACTGTTCACACAAACCAAAGTGTCCAGACTAACAGGACTCTCTATAGTACAGACCAAAGTGTCCAGACTAACAGGGCTCTCTGGGTGTACAAACCAAAGTGTCCAGACTAACAGGGCACTCTGTAGCACAAACCAAAGTGTCCAGACTAACAAGGTTCTACTGTACATGTACACACAAACCAAAGTGTCCAGACCTACAGGGCTCTCTGTAGTACAAACCAAAGTGTCAGACTAACAGGACTCTCTGTAGTACAAACCAAAGTGTCCAGACTCACAGGACTCTCTGTAGTACAAACAAAAGTGTCCAGACCTACAGGGCTCTCTGTAGCACAAACCAAAGTGTCCAGACTAACAAGGTTCTACTGTACATGTACACACAAACCAAAGTGTCCAGACCTACAGGGCTCTCTGTAGTACAAACCAAAGTGTCAAGACTAACAGGGCTCTCTCTGTGTACAAACCAAAGTGTCCAGACTAACAGGGCACTCTGTAGCACAAACCAAAGTGTCCAGACTAACAGGGCTCCCTGTGTGTACAAACCAAAGTGTCCAGACTAACAGGGCACTCTGTAGCACAAACCAAAGTGTCCAGACTAACAAGGTTCCACTGTTCACACAAACCAAAGTGTCCAGACTAACAGGACTCTCTGTGGTACAAACCAAAGTGTCCAGACTAACAGGACTTTCTGTAGTAAAAACCAAAGTGTCCAGACTAACAGGGCTATCTGTGTGTACAAACCAAACTGTCCAGACTAACAAGGTTCTCTGTGTGTACAAACCAAACAGTCCAGACTAACAGGGCTCTCTGTAGTACAAACCAAAGGGTCCAGACTAACAAGGTTCTCATGTACACACACACCAAAGTGTCTAGACTAACATGATTCTACTGAACACACAAACCAAAGTTTCCAGACTAACAGAACTCTCTGTAGTACAAACCAAAGTGTCCAGACCAACAGGGCTCTCTGGAGTACAAACCAAAGTGTCAAGAATAACAGGGCTCTCTCTGTGTACAAACCAAAGTGTCCAGACTAACAGGGCTCCCTGTGTGTACAAACCAAAGTGTCCAGACTAACAGGGCACTCTGTAGCACAAACCAAAGTGTCCAGACTAACAAGGTTCCACTGTTCACACAAACCAAAGTGTCCAGACTAACAGGACTCTCTATAGTACAGACCAAAGTGTCCAGACTAACAGGGCTCTCTGGGTGTACAAACCAAAGTGTCCAGACTAACAGGGCTCTCTGTAGTACAAACCAAAGTGTCCAGACTAACAGGAATCTCTGTAGTACAGACCAAAGTTTCCAGACTAACAGGGCTCTCTGTAGTACAAACCAAAGTGTCCAGACTAACAGGACTCTCTGTAGTACAGACCAAAGTTTCCAGACTAACAAGTTCTCTGTAGTACAAACCAAAGTTTCCAGACTAACAAGGCTCTCTGTAGTACAAACCAAAGTGTCAAGACTAACAGGGCTCTCTGTAGCACAAACCAAAGTGTCCAGACTAACAGAGCTCTCTGTAGTACAAACCAAAGTGACCAGACTAACAGGGCTCTCTGTAGCACAAACCAAAGTGTCCAGACTAACAGGAATCTCTGTAGTACAGACCAAAGTTTCCAGACTAACAGGGCTCTCTGTAGTACAAACCAAAGTGTCCAGACTAACAGGACTCTCTGTACAGACCAATGTTTCCAGACTAACAAGTTCTCTGTAGTAAAAACCAAAGTGTCCAGACTAACAGGGCTCTCTGTGTGTACAAACCAAACTGTCCAGACTAACAGGGCTCTCTGCAGTACAAATCAAAGTTTCCAGACTAACAGGGCTCTCTGTAGTACAAACCAAAGTGTCCAGACTAACAAGGTTCTCTGTGTGTACAAACCAAACTGTCCAGACTAACAGGGCTCTCTGTAGTACAAACCAAAGTGTCCAGACTAACAAGGTTCTACTGTACACACAAACAAAAGTGTCAAAACTAACAAGGTTCTACTGTACACACACACCAAAGTGTCCAGACTAACAGGGCTCTCTGTAGCACAAACAAAAGTGTCCAGACTAACAAGGTTCTCTGTGTGTACAAACAAAAGTGTCCAGACTAACAGGGTTCTACTGTACACACACACCAAAGTGTCCAGACTAACAAGGTTCTCTGTAGCACAAACAAAAGTGTGTAGACTAACAAGGTTCTACTGTACACACAAACAAAAGTGTCCAGACTAACAAGGTCCTACTGTACACACAAACAAAGGTGTCTAGACTAACAAGGTTCTACTGTACACACAAACCAAAGTGTCCAGACTACCATGGTTCCATTTTAAACACAAACCAAAGTGTCCAGACTAACAAGGTTCTACTGTACACACAAACCAAAGTGTCCAGACTACCATGGTTCCATTTTAAACACAAACCAAAGTGTCCAGACTAACAGGGTTCTCTGTATGTACAAACCAAAGTGTCCAGACTAACAAGGTTCTACTGTACACACAAACAAAAGTGTCCAGACTAACAAGGTTCTACTGTACATACAAACAAAAGTGTCTAGACTAACAAGGTTCTACTGTACACACAAACCAAAGTGTCCAGACTACCATGGTTCCATTTTAAACACAAACCAAAGTGTCCAGACTAACAAGGTTCTACTGTACAGGTACACACAAACCAAAGTGTCCAGACTAATAAGGTCTCTGTGTGTACAAACCAAAGTGTCCAGACTAACAGGGTTCTACTGTACATACAAACCAAAGTGTCCAGACTAACAGGGCTCTCTGTAGCACAAACCAAAGTGTCCAGACCTACAGGGCTCTCTGTAGCACAAACCAAAGTGTCCAGAAAAACAGGGTTCCATGTACTGTGCATACAAACTTGAAGTCATAATAACTTTACACTTTTACATTATATAGACAAAATATAACCACAGGACACCTTGTTAAATTATGACACCACTTTTCCTCATCACGTTACGTCTTCAATTTCTGTTTCAGGGGATGACCGCCCTTCACTGGGCTTGCAGCAAAGGTCATTTAGACTCGGTCAAGCTTATTATTGAATATAACGCTTTTCCTAACCACATGGAGTTCACTGAAGATAGGTAAGTTTTTATGTATCCTGTTTAGTGTGAAGGGTACATTTTCTATTTCTTAATTTCCTCCATATACAAATTTATTAATGGTCAATTCATAATGAAATAGACGTATGTACAAAAATAACATGAAACATAAAAAGACATTGTTTGTCTATGATCGTAGTTTTAGCTGATTGTGACTAGGGTAATACATTCTCAGATGTAAGTGAATTTAATTACGATTTTATCGCTGATACAATTACATCAATTTATCAACAAATATGATGTAAAGCAATACAAAGTTTTCACAACCTAACATAAACTCATTTACCCCTGAAGACACATTTGAGCTCTTCCAATTCAAAGGTTGGAATAGTCCATTATGAAATATCAGGGGTGAATGAGTTAACTATATCAAATTCTTTGTCCAAACCAACAGACATTCCCAAAAGATTCACTGTCCTCACATTTCTGAGAAATTTACTCTTAAATACTTTCATAAAATTTAGTAAAATGAAGGTAATTTAGATCAAATACAGTATGATATTTTCTTCAGATTAAAAAGGCAAAGTGAAATTGTAGTCTATGCCAACATTAAGACAAAGGGATATAACTCTGTCTTTGAGAAGATTCTGCAACTCTGTAACTTGAAAAAGTCAACTTTCTTTTTATTGTCATTTTACAATAACCAGTGAATTTTGTCCATGATGATGGAGATAGTGATGGAGTTTAGAATTTTTTTAAACTAAACTAATGTTGTGTAAATTAACTAATTTCTAATCTACTTTTCACCCTTTCTAACTTTAGTAGACTCTACCATGCATTGATATGGATAAGTCCATTATGGTCTAAAGTGGTGAAAGGGTTAATTCAACAAACGCTTGCTACATGTACTTGTAATTGCATGTCTAATAATGATACACAAGATAGACTTATCATGATCAGTGGTCTTGCTTGTTTTAGAAATGAAATAATGAAAAAAATGATATATGTTCATGTATCTAAAACCAATAATTTTGGGCTTAATCATACTCGTCTACTGGAGGTTAGATAAATGGTCAAATAAAAGTAGAGGTCAATGCTTTTGTGATAAGTTATTTGATTTAATATTTTTTTTGTTACTTAGGTATACACCATTAGACTATGCATTGATGGGTGAGCACCATGATGTGGCCCAGTATATGATTGAGGTGGGAGCTCTGTCCATCACAGGAATACAGGAGATCGCAGCCATGAAAATACAGGTAAGGTCATGATGTGGCTAAGTATATGATTGAGGTGGGGGCTCTGTCCATCACAGGAATACAGATCGCAGCCATGAAAATACAGGTAAGGTCATGATGTGGCTAAGTATATGATTGAGGTGGGGGCTCTGTCCATCACAGGAATACAGGAGATTGCAGCCATGAAAATACAGGTAAGGTCTTGATGAGGCCCAGTATATGATTGAGGTGGGGGCTCTGTCCATCACAGGAATACAGGAGATTGCAGCCATGAAAATACAGGTAAGGTCATGATGTGACTAAGTATATGATTGAGGTGGGGGCTCTGTCCATCACAGGAATACAGGAGATTGCAGCCATGAAAATACAGGTATGGTCATGATGAGGCCCAGTATATGATTGAGGTGGGGGCTCTGACCATCACAGGAATACAGGAGATGGCAGCCATGAAAATACAGGTTAGGTCATGATGTGGTCCAGTATATGATTGAGGTGGGGGCTCTGACCATCACAGGAATACAGGAGATTGCTGCCATGAAAATACAGGTAAGGTCATGATGTGGCTCAGTATATGATTGAGGTGGGGGCTCTGTCCATCACAGGAATACAGGAGATTGCTGCCATGAAAATACAGGTAAGGTCATGATGAGGCCCAGTATATGATTGAGGTGGGGGCTCTGTCCATCACAGGAATACAGGAGATTGCTGCCATGAAAATACAGGTANGGCCCAGGCTGAAGATATTTGGCCAGTAGCATGCTGGGATAAAGGGAATAAAGAGTTTGTTCAAATGAATGACCTTCACTCATATTCAAGGTCACAGGGGTTATTTGTCTTAAAAACACTTAAAAACAACTTTTGAATAACTTAAGGTTCCAGGGTGATCGTTTGTTCATGTGAATGACCTTGACATACTTATTTTTAAGGTCACATCTGGCTCACAGTGCATAAATCTTTAAAAGTCACCTCAATAAACAAAAGGTATAGGGCCATCAGGGTGATGTTTGACAAGTTGCATTCTGTGAGGAAGGCTATAGAGTTTGTTCAATTTAATGTCCATGTTTGACTTTTAAAGTCACAGGGGTCAAATGTGTTTTAATCTTTTGACAGGTTCTTTTGAATGACTTAAGTCAAGACACTGATATTTTGCCTGTAGCTTTAATTTCTTAAGGTTACAATTGTGAGATTAATACTAGGTGAGCGATACAGGCCCATTGGGCCTCTTGTTCTTTTATTTTCATTGGTCCTGAAACATGACTATGAATACAATTTAGCTGCCAGCTACTGGCACAACTCTTACCCTGTCTATTAATAAAACTTCCAGTCATGAATATTGAATATGTATATTCCGTTGATGAACAAGACAATTGTTTTTAGATACAAAAATGGAACTGAAGTCCTTGTGACAGGAAATTATACAAAAAAATAAAAACCACAAGAAGCTGATTGAAGAATTGGTCTGCTTGTGATTTTTTAATTTTCGTATATGTATACAATTTTTTATATCTTTTTTAATTCAATGCAACACTTTCAGTTTGATAAGTTTTGAATTAAATTCTTTTTAAATACTCACAAAAATACATGGTTTGCCTTTAGATAGAATAAAATCTATGTGAAAAGGATGGACTTTTCTTGTTAGTTTTGATACATTATTTACCAGACGCTTTACAAATCATCATCATAATAACAAATACTACATATAAAACCCCCTTTTTCATTGACCGTTAGGATCCCGAGTGATTCTGCTGAGTGAATAAAGTAAGGCACTAAAGGACATACATTTATTTGTCCGTTCAAGGATGATCTTTATTTGCTGTAGACTGAATGGACATTATATATATACACAGCAATAGATGTCAAATTTGTGAATCAAATTGAATATATTATTTTACTTTAGAAAGATTGAGTTTTTCACATGAGAATTTCTTGACTTTTCAAGGTGTGTGCAAGGTATAGATGTGATTATCTGGGTCTAAAACTTTCAACAAGTAGACTTAGAGAGTATCAAAATATTGAGAATTAGTTTCGTTCCCAGGAATTTTCTGGATTATTTAATGATTTTTACATTATGTAGGAGACTTAATATTGAACATGTAAGAAATTTGACATTAGTGATATAAAACTTAATTGAAAATGTCGTCAGTTGTTGAAAACCAGTACGATTTTATTTAAAACACATGTTATAAGGACATTCCTACAAACACATGGCATGTTGGATAGCTTCAGTGTTTTATAAATATAACCAGTGTAGATTTATTGCGGGAAAAAAAAATATTTGTGATTTTCGGATATAATTTTCAAATGTTAATTTTTGTTTCAGTCAACATTTCGTGGATATCGTATACGGAAAACTTTTACAGAGAATAAAAGACTGTTGATGCTTCACGACCAGCTCAGGAAAGAGGCTGTACGGTAAGCAAGTAAAATTACTTAACCCTTTCAACACTGTAGACCATAATGGACTCAACTAGATCAATTAATGGTAGAGGTTATTAAAGTTACATAGGGGTGGAAGAGTTAAAAAAGACAGCTGTTGATTCTAAATAATGTTTTGTATTTCAGTTTATAAGATATTGATAAATCAATTATTATATCAGCTAGTTTGAAAGATGTATTGGATTGAGTGGGAAATGGTTACTCTAGAATTAAAATTTTCCCAAACAGATGTTTGAAACCCTATCCAGATTTGACACCGAGCGACATCAGCCAGCTTACATACATTATTAGCCAGATAATTTTTTTGTTCTACAAAATCAGCGGGTTAAATCAAATAATATTCTAAAGTATTGTCTTCTTAAAAAAGAATTATGAGTTTTTTTTTTATTGAAATTAGTTTTAAAATTAATTTTGTAAAATGACCGCAGATAAAGATAATAGCATAATCTTAAGTTTTGTCTGAAGATAGTTTTTGTAGAAAATAATGAAATTTCAAAAAAATATTTATTTATTATCTTAATACTGTATTGTGAAATTTATCTTTTTTTTTTGTTGGTAGTATATTGTACTTTGAGATAGGACTAAATATTTTAACAATATAAAAAGTTAACTTTGTACTTAGTTCCAACATTTTACAGGGGCTACCGGGTATATAGATCCACACGTTAGTTTAGTTTAGAGGCCACATGTTTACAAAGTGTTTGTCAGTGACAATTCACAAGGTTATAGGCTGAATTTACTCTCAAGTATAATCTGTAACCAATATTTGTAATACCTGGAAAACCTTCAAATGTTATTGGCTGAAAGGTCAGGTGACGATACAACAAACAGCAGATGATCCCTTCACCCAGAGAATTTATAGAACAGGCATTGTGATTTTCCGTTGGTGCTGCGTCTATGAAGGACTTTTACAATATGATAATACAATGTTTTGTCATTTGTAAATTCCTTATGTGGCAATTTTAATCAAGTGAATCTGTCAGTGTGCAGATTTTGAAAATTTACTGAACTTTTAAATTTCAGAATTGGAAATTAAGCTTATAAAGTTCAAATATTAACCATTTATCAACAAGAGTTGGATTGGATTGTATTTCTGAAGATATTTACCATAAGGGATGTCGGTTATATCCAAATGGATGACCATTGTGAATATATATCAACATTTTGGATTCACATTTTGGGAAGTATAATCTGTTGGGGATATTGACTGATGTGTGAATAAGATTTTGTGTTCTGACAGAAATATTGTCAGAATGTCATTTTATACCTCAACATATTGAATTATTGATGAATTGTAATTGATTTGTGAGGATGCCCAGACTGACATGATGTTTACACCATTATGACACTGGTTATTTTAAGACAACTTGATTCTGAGAATATTTAATTCGAGCACCATATATTATACATGTATCAACACAAGAGCTCACAGTTAAAAAGCATACATCAGTCCGCCATTTTGACACTAACCCAGTTATGATACATGTGTACAGTGCTCATGAGGAATTTGTGATATTGGCAATATTATTGCTTTTAAATGATGTGAATGAATACCAGATCTGTATCATCTGAAGCTGACAGTTGAGAAAATAACTTGCCTCCTTCTGCTAGTCATTTGTAAATGGAAGAATTTCTTTGTAAAGATCATCACTGTCTTTAGCTTGATAAGACATTAGACATCATCTTAAGCTTTCAACAAGAAGAAAAGTTACAGAGGTCAGTCAGGACAGTTGGTTTCTTCACTCGTTCACCCCTACATATTTGAACTTGACTTGCCCAACATCTGTTTGGTAAGGTTCAGATGTGACTTGAGGGGTGAATGAGTTAATACAGGTGACTCTGATGGGACAGACTTACCTGTATGTTATTTAAATGGTTACTATAGTGTTGGACTTTCGTCATCAATAGTTAGTTACCAGTCGGTATGGGAAGTGAAGAATCAAAAACGTCTGTAACCAATAACAACATCGTTAAGGACAAGGACGTTCCCGCAGATTCTAATAAAATTTCCAATGGAGTGGTGCATGTATCGTCTCATCACCTTGAACATTTGAACAACAGTGCTGTTGTTCAGGGAAGCAAACGAAGTTCACAAACAGACTTTGAACAAAGTAACTTAGTCAGTGTTCGTGTTCAGAATAACGGTCACTCTAAACCATCTTCAGAACATGAACTGTTGGAAAATGACATCAGTGTGGGTTTTCAGACAGATATTATTCAATCTGGAAATGGAAATCTGAAGTCATCGTTAGTTTTAGACGGATGTTATAATGGACGGTTACTAGAGCCCGTTCCTGGAGATGACAGGAATAGTGATCTGACTTATGAATACTACAATGTCTTACAGTATGTGATATGTAGCTACATCCACTACCATTACATCGTAGATATACTATAAATTCTTGGCATATTTTCCGACTAAATTTTTACTAAATTTCGGTTTAGTTTCTTTGTGATTTACGTCCTATTAACAGCTCTGTTCATTTAAGGACCTGCCAGGTTTCGTTGGTGGTGGAAAACTGGAGTACCCGCGGAGAAAAACCACCGACCTGTGGCCATGAGTACCTGGCGACTACCTCACGTAGACCTCAAACCTGCAACCTTACGTGGTGAGGGCTAGCAATCGTAGGTCACAGGTTCCAGGCTTACGTGAGGCAGGCGCCAGGTGCTTGTTACAAGTCGGTAGTTTTTCTCTGGGTACTCTGGCTTTCCTCCACCTACAAATCATGACATGTTCTTAAATGACCATAGATGTTATTAGGACAAAAAAACACCAAAAAAACAGACAAGCCCATGCAATTCATTGCCATGACTACCAACTAATTTCTTATCAGATTTTCATCAAATATATAAAAGGGTATGAGAATACCTCAAATGAGTTTGTATTTCAGGGTCCGAAGTTCAATTCCAAGTTCACAGTTGCTATTTAAAGGTCAACTACGGGGCCAAGGGACTTAAAATTCATGTCTTACAAACATTTTCTTGTTATATTTTGCTTTTAATTTTTTAATGTCTGAATGCACATAAATGTACCATCAGGAGCAACATTGATCAGAAACTTTGTTTAATATCTATGTATTACATTTGCCTGACTGTTTTGTTTGTAGGAAGCGTGCTTTCGAGGAAACAAGAAAACAGGAAGACATCAAACACAAACAGGAAGTAGAAGAAAGACAGCAGGAAGTATACCTCAATCAGCCATTGGTCAGTATTCAGCAGGAGAATGGACCACCAATACAACCAGTCATGAAAGTGCCAAAAAAGTAAGCAGTGCTCTAGATCTGTAGATCAAAATTTATAGTATGTTCGTTACTTGAAAGGGGGATTTCAGACTTTGAATTGTTATATCTCATACGAATTGAAAACCTAATTTTAGATTTTATGTTGTGTAACCTCACTCATTATTTTTTTTCGATGAAAGTGTCAAATGTCTTGACTAACAAAACAGAAATGATTCCCGTGTGATATATATACTAAGAATATACATGTTCAGTATGAGAGTTTGAATCATAGGATTTCAGATTACAAACACAATATACTATACCAATATTATTTCAGTGTAGTTCTCTGAGTAGTGGATGTTTATAAATATATTTTTTGAGGACACAAAATTGCTTGTAACTGACTCGACTACAGAGAATTTCTCTCAAGCTCTGTCATTAGAGTATTGGACAAGTTATCTATACTCCTCAGTTTGATTCCTAGTGAAGGAGCTTGCTTAAGCAAAAAGCAAATGATGGTACTTGAAAGAAATGCTGTAAATGACTTGAGGGTAGTAAAAGACAGAACGGTTTTCCCTAAAAAAAGTGGTAGATTTTGTTTTCATTGCGGACCTGAGTTGGTTACGGTGTACAGCTTAAGGTATAATTTTTCAGTTATTTTTGATGACCCAGAATTAGGACCTATATTTATATATTAGATGAAGGATTTTACTGTATAATCACATAGAAAGGATTTGTTATTTAATTGCAGCAGTGAAGAAGATTTAAATGATTGGTAAGGATCCCATCAGATTTATCTCCCTTTAATCAGACTCTCCTTCCTCAAACCTTGGTTTTTTGCTTGCATGCTTGATTCAAATACAGAATGTTAAAAACATAGTGTTTGGCTAGACTATATATGGCCAATCATGGTTACATTACAAACCGAGGTATATTTTAAACATACACTGCAAATCTGCAACACCAGAGTGACTTCTACCTGTATATTTTGAGCTAAATATGTCTTTTTTGAAAAAAAATCATGTTTTTCCCCCATTTTTTTTTTTTTTTTTTTTTTTAAAAAAAAAAAAAAATTTTTTTTTTTTTTTTTTTTTTTAAAGACAAGAAAAAATTCGTTTTTATTTCCTTGTTTTCTTTAAAATTTGTTTTTAATTTGAAGGAATTCATAAAATTCATCTTTTTTTTGTTTTGTTCTACACCGTTGGGAAGTCTATTGACTTTATCTTATTTAGTTCACATCACTGTATATAATTATAACTTACAGATAAATATAATTCACATCACAGAGAAGTTTGATAATGTTCACTGTTATTTTATGTCTTTTTCACAAATTAATTAACAAATTATTTAAAAAATTGTTCTAATGGGTAAAATTTTCTTTTTATTCACTGCTTTAATCAATTTTTCTTTTTTCTTTAAGTTGGGTAAGATTTAATTTTTTAAAAAAATCTGAAAATCATATAAGAAAAAATATGCTTGACACTTTCTGAATTTTAACTTTTGCTTAATTCACACGCCATTACCTGTCTTTTTCATTATTGATCACCAAATTGTATAAAAATATAACAAAAAAATATGAAAATCTCATTGAATTAACAAGCTAAATGAAAAACTATTCCTGAATTCTTTTGCGATGATTTTATTATGTATTATATTTCTCTCCAATGCTGAATAAGTGGTGTAACTGAAATTTGAATACCATGTAAATGATAAATTTAAATTGATATAAGAAAATCCAAAAAATATCTTTAAGTTAATTTTTACATTTGTTACACCTTCTAACATTTCATTGTGTTCAGATATTTAAAACAGATATTGGACTAAAATTGTTTTCTATGATAAATTTACATTTACAGCAATACAGATGATCTCAGTTTATTCTCTGAATATAGTGAAGGGTAAGAATCCCCACAGTTGTCTCCCTTTATATCCAAACTCGCTGTTGTTTGTATGCTATTATTATCTCCCTTTGTTTGTGTTCGATACACTGCCACTGTTGATTCCAAACACATCGTTGCATATATTGGATTCACTAGGGCTTTTATCAGTACTGTTACTGTCCACATATTGAAAATAATGGCTTTCAATATTTTACTTTTAAGATGTGCATGCCAGGCTTATTTTGAGAGATGGCTAAGCTTACAGTAGCTAAATACAGTATGTTATTGTTACATGGTATTAATTAAGCTTGCTTTGCATGATCCTTGATGTATAGGAAACTTATACGGTCATTATGTCTCCCCTTATAATCTATTGATTGTCTTGCAGCAAGGAGATTTGCTCTAAGCTTGTAATATGCATCAGATTTATATATATTAAGTATTTTATTTCAAGAAACAAATGCAATATTCTTCGTTTTCTCCAATTCCTCTTAGTTTGTACACATCTCCACTTATAAATGTTTTTTGTTTACTTTTTGTCTGTGTACCTCTATCACCCCTAAAGACACATTTGAGCTCTTCCAATTTAAAGGTTGGAATAGTTCATTATGAAATTTCAGGGATGAATGAGTCAATGTCCTGAGGAACATCTTACCTCAAGTTTAATTTATATCTGATCCTAGTTATAAATAATGTCAAGTTTGTGCTTTTGACCTCTGGTCCAATATATTCTTTGGCTTGATTTAAATTTCTGCTCAAATTTGAACCTGAACTCCATTTTATACACCAGGTCCAATTTAATCTTCTGTTGCAATTTATATTTCTGCTCCAGCTTATTAGCTCTTGTCTTGTTTTGATATATCTACTCCAATCTATCACATCTGGTCAAGTTGAACAATTTGTCCAGTTTATACATATATGGTCCTTTTACCAGTTTTTGTCCAATTTTAACCTTTGGTCAAATCTTTACATCTTGTCCTATTGTAACCTCTGGTCAAATCTTTACATCTTGTCCTATTGTAACCTTTGGTCAAATCTTTACATCTTGTCCTATTGTAACTTCTGGTCAAATCTTTACATCTTGTCCAATTTATAAGTCTGTAGTCAGATTTACGGTGTTTGTTCATTACAATGTTTTTCTTGTCAAAGTCAAGCAATAAACATGAATTTAAAAAAGGGAGATATTTGAAGGCCTTTTTTGCCTTTTTGTCCCTTAAGTCTTATTGCTGCCCAAACTGTAACCTATAAGCAATAATTGTTATATTTAGTGCCCCGTGTACCTTGCAAATACTTTGAATTTGCTTCAAGGAGCCCCCCTTTTTTACACAAAGAATGGGAGACCAGAAAATAATTTATGCAGAAGAGTCTTCTGGGTTTTTTAAGGTAAAGGAAAATTAACATAAAAGAAAAGGAAAGTGTTTTTATTTAGGAAAGGCCGGGTGCTTACTATAGTTAATACGGTGAGAGCACAGAGGTGTTATTTAACTAAATGTCCTACTGCTACAGGTATATAGCATGGCTAGGGGATTATCTCTACTGTACATTACCCAGAGCTGATTAGTGCAAATATTGAAAATACATGTACCCTGAAACTCAAGAGCTGTCATTCTATTATATTGCCTGCATGATGTGGGTCAATCAGCAGGTGTGCTTCCTTTGAAGTATTTTTTTTATGTGGTTAGTTAATGGAGGGGTATATCAATATGAACCCTTCGCTCACTTTTATTTATTTTTTATTTTTCAGCAATTCCTTTTAATGTCTCTATTTAAGGCCCAACCCCTTTATAATGCAAATATTACCCTTGACAAGTGGTTGCAATATAATTTTGTTTTTACTTTATTGAGAAATTTATATACTGAGTATGCTTTAAAAAAGCCAATACATGCATTAATACTTTAAAAAAGAAATGATGGATAAAAAATATTGAATTCTTGATGTACATAAAAGCAGTGATGCCATATACATGTAGGTGTAAGAAATAACTACCAAACCCTAGTGTGTCAGTAACTCACTGTCATGTGTCGCCAACACACAGGTCTTAATGGAAATTCCCCCTAAAAAAATTGAATGAGTCCCTTGTTCTTTGATTATGAGCAATCCATTGTAAATGTTAGGGTTGAGAGGATCAAATATCATGGTTATTTGATGTAACTAGGATTGGAAGATTAGACTAATCTGCTATGGTATACCTGGTTTTAACAACTATTGTACTTGTGTATATAGGTATTATATCCATTCAGGTGAAAATGGAAATCTGTTTTTGAAGTGTAAAACAATTTACATTGTAGTCTTATGGGGAGCATATCGTAGGATCTGACGATAATATTTACTGTATGGATGTTCAGTAACAAGTGTTTTATGTTAGTTTAAAGGATAGCTCTAACATTGGAATTCAGTATATTGGATGTGTAGTTCATTAGCCTTCTGGAAGGAATAACACGGGACATGGAATTTATTGATGATAAACATATTGGCAATGGTGAAAGCAAGCGATAGATATTGACATTCAAAATGGTGGTCGACAGTATGGGCAGTTGTTACTGACCTGCGTCCAGAGGCTGAAGGATTCTCAATATTGTGATTAAACTATTATGGGATGTACATTTGTATTGTGAAAGGCAGAAATTTCGTTTAAGGGGTATAGTGAATATGCTGAATGTCATTAAAATCTATTTAAATTTAAATTAATTCAGAACTTCTTGATTTGATAAATTTTTATTAGAAAAAGAAATTTGATGCTGTGTATTTGATTAAGAAAAATTGAGTTGTGTTGTCAGAATCAATTCTTTTATGAATCTCAATTTAAACATATACACAGATGTATAGGAATAGATTTACTGTGAAGAGAAGCAGTGATGGTACTATTGTGTTAGATTGAATGGACAGATTTCTAGTGAAGTGTGTGTTTATCTAGGTATTATTTGAAAATACTGCTTGTTATTTACATATATTTAGGTCAAGATACATATCTAGCTGGGCCCCTTGGTATATGAGTGTTTAAGTGATCGGCTGTTTTAAGCCATACTACAAACAAAATCAGAAATCAAATTAAGAATTGAGCAGACGGTGTGAAAAATTAAACACTGGACGACAATCGTATAATCTGAATTAGTTGGACGTTGGAAACTGACTTGAGTCTAATTCATTCCTGTTCTACAACTTATCTGTGATATTGGGAATACTCTTATGATGTTCAACTGATTGGAAGATTTAATTTATCGCGTTTAATTGAAGAAGTTTGAAATAATTCTCAACATGCCTCATGAAAATTTCGCAATTCCAAGACCATCCAAAGTATGGGATAAGCACAAAGCCAAACTTTTTGTACTAAAATCTGTGGTGAATGAATCTGTGCAACATACGGAAAGATTTCGGTTTATGTAAGTATGTCGTTACAATACAGAAAGATTTCGGTTTATGTAAGTATGTCGTTACAATACAGAAATATTTCAGTTGTGCTAATCAATATATCATTATGCGTACATAAAGATTTCAGTTCTTTTAAATACTGTTGAATTACTTCTTTTACCGAACTCCGATCTTAGCATATTATCAAATTAGCAGATTGACATTGATGAATACGGGCACTTGATCAATCTCATAACATATGTTATAAGAAATTATATTCAAAAACTTCAACTAGCAAAATCATAATTTAGCACAATATGTTAAGCACAGTAAGTGCTAAAATTGAAATACTGCTAAAATACATATATGTTTACAGTATATACTAAATATATACATGTATATACAGATAGATTTCACTGTTAAAATACAAGCATATGTATTATTACATTTTATATCCGAATGTTCAGATGTACATGAAACATGTAAAGCGTGAACACTTCAACTAGCCCAACACCTTGGGCTTGAGTAGATGTTCAATATATACAATGAAAATAAAGGTCGGACCAGAAGATGTTTTCAAAACCAACCTGCAGGCTAATACTCTAAATATAAAAATTGTGCACCCCTGCATAGCGGCTAGATATTTTGTATAACTCTTTTAATCTCAGCAAAAAAGACTGAGTGCAGTTACTTAAGATGTTGATGCATCCTGTGGAATTATTAAACAGATAAGTCAAATTTAAGTCACTGTGACCTATATTTTCCGCCTCATTGACTTTGGTCAGACATTGAATTTAGCTCCACTTCCATCTAAGTAGGAGTTGGGGCACCCGTATGTTTAACAAACTCTTTCCTTTTAACAATGTTTAAATAAATATATATTTTACATTGTAACATACCAGTGTGATAAGGTAATGTTCATTAAAAAGCCCACCCCAAATGTTAAGCAGATTCTTTAGTGATAAGTCCACCCCATTATAAAAAATAATGCTTGGAAATTCCCAACCCCTAATGTTAGATGGAATGTAGGGCAAATAAGCTCACACCTAATATTAAACAAATTGTATGCTAGCTGGTCAAAACAAGCCTACCTCTAGTATCAATCAAAAAGCTCACTCAAAAACCTTCTCCTAATTTCAAAATGAATATTCAGTAAAAGACCCACCTTCAATGTTAAACAGAATCTATAGTGATAAGTCCACCTAAATATAAATCACAATGCTTGGAAATTCCCAACCCCCGATGTCAAACAGATATTACCTGTGTAAACAGACTTCAGCAGGCACAGTAGTCTAGTGGTAGGACGCCGGGCTCGAAACCGAAGGGTTGCGGGTTCGAGTCACGTCGCATCATGGCACTGTGTTGTATCTTTGAGCAAGATACTTACATCTGCTTGTTCCAGTTTACTCAGCTGTAAATGAGTACATGGTTGGGCAGTGCTATAATTGTTGTTGAATGCTAGCTGTGAGCGCCGAAATGGCAGCACCAGCTGTATCCTCCCAAGGGAGTTGAGAAAGATATTGGCTGGTTGCAAAGGCCCTATAACCACGGATAATAATTTGTTAACCGCTTTGAGACGACGTACAAACTATGTTTTGATAAAGCGGTATATAAGAACCTCAAATTATTATTTATTATTACTTCTCTGTAATAAGACCACCCTTATTCTAAAACAGAAAACATATCAATAAATCCACCCTTAATGTTTAATTGAATGCTTGTAATAAGCCTACCAACAGAATACCTTGTAATAAGCCCACCAACAGAATACCTTGTAATAAGCCCACCCACAGACTACCTTGTAATAAGCCCACCCACAGAATACCTTGTAATAAGCCGACCTAAAGAATACATTGTAATAAGCTCTCCTACATAGTACCTTGTAATAAGCCCACCCGCAGAATACCTTGTAATAAGCCCACCCACAGACTACCTTGTAATAAGCCCACCCACAGAACACCTTGTAATAAGCCCACCCACAGAATACCTTGTAATAAGCCTAAATAAAGAATATCTGTAATAAGCCAACCCACAGAATACCTTGTAATAAGCCCACCCACAGAATACCTTGTAATAAGCCCATTGAAAGAATACCTTGTAATAAGCCAATCCACAGAATACCTTGTAATAAGCCCACTGACAGAATACCTTGTAATAAGCCCACTGAAAGAATACCTTGTAAAAGCCCACCCACAGAATACCTTGTAATAAGCCCACCCACAGAATACCTTGTAATAAGCCCACTCACAGAATGCCTTGTAATAAGCCAACCGAAAGAATACCTTATAAGCCCACCCACAGAATACCTTGTAATAAGCCCACCCACAGAATACCTTGTAATAATAAGGCCACCGAAAGAATACCTTGTAATAAGCCCACCCACAGAATACCTTGTAATCAGCCTACCTAAAGAATACCTTGTAATAAGCCCACCAAAAGAATACCTTGTATTAAGCCCACCCTAAGAATACCTTGTAATAAGCCCACCCACAGAATACCTTATAATAAGCCAACCTAAAGAATACCTTGTAATAAGCCCACCCACAGAATACCTTATAATAAGCACAGTCTGTAGAAACAAGCCCACCACAACACCAAAATGTTCACTAATAAGCCCACCCCCTTGCTGAAAAAGTGACAGTTTTAGTGTTATTTCTTACTTTTTATGGGATAATTTATGAATTTTAACTTGTCAATTTAATTGCAATACAGTGAGCTAAGATATTCAAAATGTGTTGTTCACGATCTTGAGAAAGCAATTTAAGTAGTATAGAATATATAAGGGTGTCAAATATACAAGATCTTGTCTCTTTTGCAAAACTGGTACCTGACGATTGTCCTTTTATTGTCTTCATTTTTCAGTATTGTTTGCTTTTAATCTAGACAAATCTTTTCTTCACTTTTAAATTGTATTGAGTATTTCAGTACATACATGTTGTCACATTCAATTTGAGGACTTTTTCAAACAGAAGTTATTCTGACGCGTTTAAAGATTGCTTTATCTAGAGACATTTAAAACTATTTTCAGACAGAATATGATATGTACTATTAGATTGATTGTACATGTGATCAAAGATTTATCTGAGCTTGTTCCCCTATTTTTGTTTGATCATTGTATAACTCTTTCACCACTGTAGACTTTAATGAACCAACCCAAATAAATTTATGGTAGAGTTTATTGAAGTAACGTAGGGGTGAAAGGGATGATAGAAATGTTTTCTCAAACAAATTTGCATTGTTCGCTTGACAATTTTATGTTTAAAATGAGTTTGTATTATAATGAATATTTTGATTGATAAACTAAGTCGTTTTTGTGTTCATTTAAGATTGTTTAAAATCCCCCTAAGTGTTACAATCTTTCTCATTTTCTTCTAGTTGTTCGTACCAGGGGGCAATCAGTTTAAAAAGAATATGAAAAGCCCATACTTGCTACGTTTCAATGTTGTTTAAATGGTAGTGTTTCATTTTCTATACACCCACATACAGTTACTATATAAATTAAATTTGAATTTTGTATAATCCGTGCATAGAGGCGACAAGACCCTTTTTTATGTTTTTAGATTGGATAACGATTGCTCAGAATTTAATCTTGCTCATTAAAATGACATGTAGAAGTGGAAATTAAATTCAAATTTGAAATTAGTACCGTTATATTGTACAGGTATTTTATCAGAAGGGCTGAGATCATTATCAATATGTAATTTACATCATTGACATTTTGTCAATCATAACGGTTGAAATCTCATTAAATTCTGAACTTACATAATGATTTATTACATTTAAACCATTTTGAATGAACTTATATTGTCCTTAAGCCCAATTTCTATTTTCAATTTAAAAATCATTTCTTGTTTAGAATGAGTCCTACTTTGTAACATCAGAGAACAGAACACCTATATGTCTATTCAATTTTGGAAATATTTAAATAGTAATTCTCAGTCCTGTATCAAACTCCCTACAAACCCAATTAAAAGTCGTTAATGAAACAAACTAAACACTAGATGGTTAATCGTTTCCTGTGAGACCTATTTAAATAATTTGTATCGTACCTGTAATAATATTTTACCAGAACGATCAGCTATAAATTATTACAAAGGGCCTATACCCCATAATGTAAGAAGCTGTTGGACAAATTTAAAATGCCCAGGTACCTCAGTCGTATAATAATGAAAATATTTGTTCTTGTGAGGGTATCGGTTACATATACGTGTATTATATGATGAAGCAAGTTCCGTTTCTGCTCATTCCGTTTCGGTGATCATACACAGTACGTTTTTGTTCTATCGCGGGGTTTGGCCCTCTCCCCTAGCCCGTTACATACTGTACTTTCTCTGCCAGCCCCAGCACTGTTAGTGTTGTCAGGTATACCTAACTACAGAAGTGTACGTGTTGGTGTGTCAGGCAGAAATTTGTCGAGATGGAGAAATCAATTTACTGAATTAACTTGTTGAATTTATATTCAAAATCTGATGGGGAATTTTTAAATCACTGAAAGTAGAGTTAAAGAAGGATTATATGTGAATTTTCATTAATTGGGAATGAAAAATCCTGGACTTTTGTACAAGGATGTATCGACATTGTGTTTAAACAATGGCAGGACTGTTTACGCCATTTTGTTGTTTTGACAAGGAATTTGTAAAAGGTTGACCATTTCAAACATTTTCTTTTTGTTGAGTTCCATGGGTGAAGATTTCTGATTTTCTTTTATTTTCTACAAAAAAGGAGTTATTTTTTTGGTGTGATTTATTTAATATCTTGAATTCCCACAATGCCACATTTCTTTGGATCACTGTCTGCCTCCATTCACGGAATTATTCGAGCTTCTAAACTTTCCAGGAAAAAGGAAAAGGAATATACGGAGCTTGCCGATCTTCTGAAGCAACGACAGAATCAACATAAAGTGATCTCATCTGAAAAACAAAGACAGAACCAGTTCAAGGAAAAACAATGGGCAGCCTTAAGAATCCAGCGAGCCTGGAAAAAGTAAGTATTCTATATACTTTTCTTTCTATTAAATATCTTTAAAATTTAAGATTTTAAGATTTGAACTTTCTGTTGCCATTCAAAGTCAAAACAAATGTGAACTGGAGGCAGTTTTATCTTGGAAGGTGAAAGCTGGTTATAATTTTGCCGTATTGCTATTCCAGAACTATCCTGATTGTGTTTTATATAATTGTGTCTGACATCTTTTGAAGATTAGTTTCCTTGAGATTGGATTAATTTAAGTTTTATTAATGTGTTATAATAAATAAAAAATAATACCATGGTAACATCATTTACAAAGACCACAAGAGTAATCTACCCATGGCATTCAGAGCTCATATGATTGCCAAGCAGATTTTGTAGAATACAAAGTGGTATTACCATGTACACTGTAATAGAGGTATTACCATGTACACTGTAATAGAGGTATTACCATGTACATTACCATGGAAACTATATGTATGTATCACTTTTGTGTATAATACACAATTATTACAGTGAAGCTTGATCACTATAATTACATGTTTGTTACGATCTCCCACTTTATACAAAAATAGAAATTCAAAATTGTCTCAAACATTAAGGTAGAGAGTGCAATTAAGTGCTCTGTTTTGAACCTCCAATAAAAAAGAGCTCCAACTTGTTAATCAGTTTAAGCTCAGTTGTTTTGACAGTTCGAAATAATGCTATTTCTTAGGAAGTACCTTTCTCAAATTTCATATGTAGATTTCCCTTGCATAGGTAAGTTTCTTCCTGATTGCTATTCTTGCATATAGTTCATGTTGAGCTACAAACCGCTTTGATTACGAGAGAATTATGGCTGCCAGAAAATAGAACATCTTTCTTGTGCTATATTTTATAGATTATCATTTAAGAGTAAATAGGCTAAACATTGGCCTATCTATGAAGATCGAGACACTGTCAGACCCAACCAATTTGCATGAAGTTTTAATTAGAATTTGTTAAATCATTGGAGTTATCTCCCATCCATTATAAATTCATTATTATGATACATTGTCATCTATTAGTGTGAATTTGTTATTTTCGAAATTATGAAGCTAATTTTCATCTTCATATGCTTGTAAATAGCCTGATAACAACAGTGATTTTATAAAGTTTAGAATTTCTATAAAAAATGAAGATGGTAAATTTGTAAGAACATTTTATACTATGGTGTAACAGTTCTCTCCTTGTCATAGACACTATAGTACAGTGAAATCCGCCCCCCCCCCCCATCACCACCACAACCTATGTGTACTCTGACATTATTGATACATTTGAGTTATCTCCCTTATATAGTTTTTGCCTTAGTGACACAGTTAGATTCTTTCTTTTACCCTGACTTGATTGTCCGACTTAGATCTGATCAAGTGATCCAGTATCGATTGATGTCGGATTTTAGTTCGTAATCTAGATATAAATGATGTCCAATTATCTTTGTTAGTACAAAGTAGTAAATGTACCAAGACTTGCCAACTCTCCCTATTTTGGAGGGAGACTATTGATTTTAGCATCTTCTAGCAATGAATTTGCTAAACTATTCCTGTTTTCTAAGATCTGATGATTTTATCTCAACAAACAGCTCAAAAGATGCCATAGGGGGTACATACACACATTTATGTATGCTTTTAATTCTGAGCAACGAAATCTCCCCCTTGGAAATTTCAAAAAGTTGGCAAGTATGTACAGTACCACTTTGAAGTTTTGAGAAAAGATCTTTAAGTCTAATATCACTATGATTTTGAACTTCCTGATGATGCTCTTTCCATTCCCAACTTTGAGTTCAAATACAATTCTTCATTATTCCATGGCAAAAATGATGAGCAATTTCTTCCGGCAACAAACAGACTTCTGTTATTTCGGGAATGCGCAATGAAAGTTGATGCACATCAATTTGATCAAAGTGACAAAACTGTTTGTAACCAGAAGCAAATTTCAAACATTTTTATGATCCTGCTGAGAGTTTGTACAGGTGTGCAGAGACATAAAAAGCTTTAGTTAGTTTGTTATTTATGGCCTTTTGCCAATGTTTATCTTTGAAAGTATATATAGCTATGGAATAAATTTTAGATCAGTTAATTCACCATGGGTCTAGGCTAAGGCACTTGTAGTGTAATGATATTAGAATTGGAAGGCATTTCCCATTTTTTTTTTTAATTTGAATGTTTATTTCTTTAAAGTTGAAGAATGACACAATTCTCACCAACACATATGTTCTGTGATTCGTTCTGAAAAATCATACACAAGAAAGTAGGCCTTTAACATTGATGGTTTTAAATAATAAGGGAAAACGATCTCTACCTTAACAATCCTCCAATCGGATACTTGCTATCTGACACATTTTACCTGTGACTTTGATGCAAGAGTTATTTCCCCTTTCCCTTTAAAAAGATTGAATTGTCACTATCAGATTATACACTTTCACCATAAATCAATTGTGAAGGTATTTAAAAAAAACTTAACGTTGAATTCTTGTGGAAAGTATATCAATATTACAGTAACTTAGTAGATATAAAGATGATCTTCACAAATGGGACCTCACCATCCTATCACTAATGGCAGCAGCAAATATCACAGTTGGTTGTGTGTCAATCATTGGACAGCACAGTCATCTAAGGTTCAGAGTCTGTTGATGGTGGGATGTAGTTGTGTCTTTGAGCATGACATTTACCCTTGTCGCTCATTTCCACTTACCCTTAGTGGTGCTACAATGGTCTTAGTTTGCTGCTGTAGTATTCAAGTGTTGTGGCATTGTAAAAGAGGAGTTAGAAATATGGACCCAAAACAAGTAGAACACCTTTACAACCTCCATCACACATGGTACAGTGACAACAATGTTTCTATTCCCTGAGTGGAAGTGAAAAAGGAAATCATTCGCAGAGAAGAAAAGTCTTGAAAATCATACTAGAATTCACACGGGAGATCGCCCCTATCATTGCGAGCAATGTGGACGAAGGTTTATACAAATGTCACATCTCTGACGACACAACTGTCTGAACACATGTGTTTTGTTACACGTAGTACATGGTACTCAAGTTTCCTCCAACATTAAGACCTTGTGTGCACTTCCATATTGGATAACAAGATTTATTAATATATATTTAAAGAACTTAAATTGTTTCATAATTGTTGTATAATGACGAGATTTCATCAATATTTTATATAAGTTTAAAGTATATATATATCTGCCACCCCTTGATGTTTTTTAACAACATAGAGTTATTGATTTAAATGAGATTGGACAGAGTGGTATATAAATGTTGTATACATTTTGTCAATACAGCCACCCCTTATCTAATCCTATCGTAATCCTGCCAGTGTTGAAGCAGATAGGTTAGACATTTTCTATACAAAGGTGTTGTAATAATCCGTTGGTCTAACAGTCCAGCCTCTTTCTGATGAGGACGAAGGTGGCTGTACTATTGAAATACAACATGTGTATTACTTCTATAACTTTTAACGGGGCCGCGCTGGCCAAGTGGCTATAAGGTGTCTGGCCATCTACTATTACTATCCCACCAACACTGGGTCACAGGTTCGAGGCCTATATGGGGCAGTCGCTAGGTACTAATGGGCGCAGGTCAGTGGTTTTTCTCCAACACCAAAACCTGACACGTCCTTAAATGACCATAGTTGTGAATTGGACGTAAAACACAAACAAACAAACACTTTTAAAATGAAAGTAGACCCATAAACTGTAGTAATTGAGCTTGGTTTGTCTACACTAAACAGACTAAGCCCTATAGGTGTCCCAGTGTAGATGGTAGTAATTGAGCCTGGTTTGTCTACACTAAATAGACTAAGCCCTATAGGTGTCCCGGTGTAGATGGTAGTCATTGAGCCTGGTTTGTCTACACTAAACAGACTAAGTCCTATAGGTGTCCCAGTGTAGATGGTAGTAATTGAGCCTGGTTTGTCTACACTAGACAGACTAAGCCCTATAGGTGTCCCGGTGTAGATGTAGGTATATACATGTGTGTCATACCTATATACCCGGTACACAAGCTTTGAATTGAACTTATCAGGTGTGAAACACACATTGGTTCGTTGTAATCCTAAGTGTTGAGGCCACCCACAGGTACCTCTAAAATAATGCATGAAATATGATTCTAAAAATATATTGTTTTTAATATACATTATGTGATATTTGAACGTATTCATATATTAGAATATGTAAGTATAAAATAGATTTTGAAAAAAAAAAATGTATGTAAAAATTAGATACTTATATAGGAATTTGATAAAAATGATTGTTTGGAAAAAACCCAAAAACTGGAAAATCATCTGTCACACATGCTTTCAGGCAAACCAAAACAAAATATGTATCATCAGGGATTCAGACATACTCAGGTCTGAGTTTATAGATGGTCAGAAGACATGGATATTTCCTTAAGGATCCCCGTACCACTGGAAATAATGTCTAAATTCAGAACATCAAATTTGAAACTCCCTATCGAAACAGGAAAATGGACAGGTGTCCCAAGGGAAAATAGAATATGTCCTCTCTGTAACATCGATGTTGGCGACGAATTTCATTATTTATTTGTAATAACAGTCAGATCACGGAACTGAGGCAAAAATATACCTAAGTATTACTATAATTATCCGACGACCATGAAAATGAAAGGAATGTTTCAAATATGCAACACTGTTCTCCTTAAAAAAGTTTGTAGATTTCTGGTAACAACATTGAAAATATTAATTATGCTGTAAATCCTGTTATATCATAAGTTATACAGAATAAGATATTGTATTTGTATAAATGTGATCGCTTGTACCACACTAAAGTGTGTCTGAGTGAAATAAAAACTTGTGAAAGCCAAAAACTGTATCTTTGCATTGGAAACTGTGTTTCAGGCACTACTATATAGTTTTAATAACCTAAACCTTGCGGCACTTTTATAAAAAAAAGTAAAAGAGATGAAATAAATATAAAAATAATCAACAACAGTGTTCTGATTGAAATAATTCAGCAGGACTTATATCTGGGATTCGAACCCCAGACTTCTTATTGTTATACTATCACTCTAGCCGAATGAGCTACCTGGTCGACAGGAGTGTCCTGGCCTGTTTTGCTACAGTAACATTGAAACAGAAGTTAAGGGGAGACAATTACTGTATATAAGAAAACACACAATGCAGTGGGATGGGGATCCATAACCCTTTCACCTCTGTAGACCATAATGGACTCATCCAGATCAATGCATAGTAGAGTCTACTTAAGTTACATAGGGGTGAAAGGGTTAAGTTATGGATTATTCCTCAACTCTGATTTGCGGATATATACATCCTTGTTATCAACTTTTCTCAAAAGAGAATAGAATTCTGCTAAACTTTATGCCTTCTTGAATAATGGCAATATTCATGCCTTATTCATAATGATTAGATATTACGTGAATATTTGATGCTATTTATTTTACAACAATTATGAAACAATTATATCAACTTATCTTAATCATTCTTGTTGGCCCTTGACTTTAGTGTACAAGGGTTCCTAACCCTTTCACCGCTGTGGACCATAATAGACTCAACAAGATCAATGCATGGTAGAGTTTACTAAAGTTACCTAGGGGTGAAAGGGTTAATGTGGGAGGAAACTGGAGTACCCAGAGAAAACCTGTGTGGCTGCACGAGCAGGTGATCGGGACACCATACTTTTTCACATCCAATCGGGGAATTAAAATGGCTGTCTTGGTGAAAGTCAAGTGCACTATCCACTGTGCCAACCAATCACCCACAAATCTTTCCCACAAACAAAGGTAATATTAGTATGTTTCACAGTATAAAGAAATACTGAAATTTCAAACCATAATGATGTCAAAAGTTATGTAGAGTTGTCTGCCCTTGATCCTTATTGACGTTAGACCCTAGCTAGGTTTCTTAGTTATATATATGGTATGTCTAGATCTAACAACACCACCTGTTGTAGACACGTACAGTCAAACTTTACATTGTGGACACTTCCGTACCCCTCTCAAGAACATTTACACACTCGTAGGCTCCTTCACAAAAGCTTTTATATTAAATATTGTGAACACTTTTAGAAACTTCTCCATGAAAGGAATTATTTTGACGTTGGAGTGTCTCCAGGGTCGTTTGAAAGTTAAATGTCTAACATAATAGTGTATGTTACGCTACCGTAACATTCCTTAAATTTTGATAGACTTTTAATTCCTTCCATTGAATAACGTACTCCACAAGTTCAAAAAGACACCTTTTCTGTAGATAGTCTTGCTTTAACCCTTTCACCACTGTATACCATAATGGACTCATCCAGATGAATGTATGGTAGAGTCTACTCAAGTTACCCAGGGGTGAAAGGGTTAAATTATTACCCCAACAATAACAACAAAATTTAAAAATAATGCTGTTCTTCTTTCATCAGTTTCACAATTTTGAATGATATAATGATATCTTTAATAAAACACTTTACAGAAAGAATAATTTTCTTCAAAATTGTAGAATATTTATTGATATGTTTACTTTTGAATGGAGGGTAAGGTGGATCCTTTTGTGTGATTTATATTGGTATGAAACTGATCACCATTAAATGGAAATCGAAGATCTAGGCCGGTCTAGACTTTAATCCTTATATCACCCATCTGCCTGGAGCTATAAAGATTGTGTATGGCATTGAAGTGCTGTGCGAGTAGAAAGTGCTGTGCGAGTAGAAAGCCGGGTAAGATAATATTGATTTTAAACGGATTAATACTATTAGAGCCCAAAGTTTCGTTTCACTGCTATAAATCAAGAGTGGAGAATTTTGAAGAGGAATTGTAACAAGTTTGACGTTTGCTTTGACATTTTCGTCACCATTGGAATGTGAAGGTAATTTGTATGTTGCCAGGGAGCATTAATGCTATGATTTTCGTTCAATTTGTTAGAAAATGAAATTCCTTTTAAAATTGATTTCAGTTTAAAATTGAGGATGGTGAATTGTTTTAGTATTTCTATTACCGTGTTACAACCAGACCGCGGTACGCTTAAGAAATGTAGACTATTGTGTCACTTAACCATATGTCAACAGAAATAATTTTTATGGTGACAAGTTTTGAACGTTAATATTTTTGACCCGGAATAATTTGTATAAGGCCGGAACACATACTTAGTCATAATAAGATATATAGTTGTTTAACAGTTAGAATTCAGCCTGGATACCTGTCTTTGTTTTGAGACAAAGGACACAGTTGAATTGTTCGGGACATTCTAGACGTTATCGGACCTATAGAGGCAATACCGTACAGTGCCTTAACAAACGGGAGGCCATACTGATTTCTGATATACTGGCAACATGTAAAACAGATATTCAGATTTGATCGGATATTTACACAATTATTCTTTGGAATTATTACATATTTTTTTGTGGAGATATAAAAGTGTCAAGATTGGGAGAACGATCATCAACGTTGATCTACCCAGGGTCCAATATGGCTCCCCGGATAGGTTGGTATTATCGTTAACGTCCGTCCTGTGTTTGGAGATTTTATGTGCTGTGAATGATTTTCTTATTGGATTTAGATCCGTAAATCTTTAAAATTTCTTTCATTTGGTCAGGTTTTCAAATATTTACATTTTAATGTATTTGAAGTCACATGGTTAAGTGAAATGTACGTAAATATTGGTTATGGCATACAGTAGTTAACGTTTAACCCATATAAACTACATGTATTTTTTGTGTAGTGACAGCTATAGAATCTGTGTGTTTAACATAATTTTTGTCATAGAAAGATATCAAAATACATGTTGATCTTTGAAAGTTACAGTATGTAAGTTTTTGAAGAATTTTCATTTTAATTCAAGATAATTTACGCTGGAAAATGGCGGTATTTGTTCTAATAACACGATATAGCTAGCTATGTTAGGTTGATCTGTGTCTTCGATGTGTTTTAAATGACTTTGTCATAGAAATAAGTGATATAAATAATTGGAATTTATTTCAGGTTAGCTTTCAAAGAACATTCTTTGTAATTCATTGTTAAAGATATATTATAAAATGGTGGAATTTTTATAATATTTAGAACGTATATGGTGTATATTTAGTCGGTGTATGGTTCATTAGCTCTGGTGTTGAGTGGCCAGGTACCCTTGACACGCAGTATACCAGACTTGGTGACAACCCATTCATACTGGAGTTTAATGTCGTTTAATGTCGCAGGATTTATTGGTTTATTACCAACAGAATTCTTTTCCTGTCAAAATTGAACACTTTGTATCTATATAAAATTCCATTCCATTACATAATGATAACGTAAATTTTACCTGTGTTTATTGATAAACTATAGAACAGCTTTATTTGTCCAGAGTGAAATTGACGGACTCTTTATGTGTGACTGTTGAAACGTTATTGGGTTATATTGATCAGGCAAACAGCCTTTCATTTAGTACGGACCTCGTAGAAGACTTTTAAGTCTCAGCTATTTTTATAGATAAAGGGATATAGAGACAGAAATAGTAATCTCACAGATCACACAGACGTCGGTCCACAATCTTGAGTTATGAATATAAAGTTTATTTGTTTCACAACAATTGTGAAACAAGTTTTCTAACTAACACTTATCTCTCTTGTACGCCTGGAAGGTGCACAGCGGGTCTTAATGTTGGAGGAAACTGGAGTACCTGGAGAATTTTCCAGCTACAGAAATAACTATATATCACTCTCATTTGATCCCTCCAAATCAGACCCCGACAAGGGGAACCATATAACAAACAAGGTTTCTTACCTCATTCAACCCTGACATTTCATAATGAACTATCCCAACCTATGATTTGGAAGAATTCAAATGTGTCTCCAGGGGTGAAAGAGTTAATGGCACTGGTATATTCTTCTTCATCCCACAAGATGTGGTTGAATATTACTTTTCTTGTTTCCCAATTTGCTAGGTGCAGCAGAATGGGATAATGAACATAATCCTTTACAATAGAACTAAATGATATTTTTTTTTTCATTCTCCTTAGTTACAAGATGCGGCAGGTTGGGATCATGAAGGTCGCCAAGCAGTCCATAAGGACCATCCGACTTCGTGCGGGCGAAGATGAATTCGAGCGACAGATTGCCGCACTCACCATCCAGTTGGCATGGCGTAAATACTTCAGGTTAGTACCATAGCTGTCACATAATTGGTCAGTATATATATCTGTTTGGATAATTGGTTTACTTTATTAATCTTTATACTGTATTTTCCATTAACCACCCTTCGTCTTCTGTAAAATGAAGAAGAGGAACACATAACTGTTCAGTCATGTGACCATCGTGAATACTGAATGAGGTGGATAGCAGATGTCAAAAACCCAAGTTGTGTGCTATTAATAAATGAATGAATAAAACTGGACCCTCAACCCCCCCTCCCCCTATAGCCAGGAGTTTCATTTGATTAGTATGAAAAACAGTTATTTTGTCTCCTCAAATAGACAACATCCCACAGACCGTCATCTTGTATATATGATTCATAGCTTTATATGGACAGAGATCAAATTTGCATGCCAAACAGCAAAAATCTTTGTTCCCCTTCAAATTTCCTTATGAAAGTTTTCTTGCAAAAATCAGTGTTACAAACAAAATTAAAAATATAAAATGCCTCACCAGTTCTTTGTTCACTGTTAAAGTGCTCAGTTGTAAAATTTGCAAAGTTACTCTGACAATTTTTACATTAAAGACAGAAATATGTTTACCTGACTGGATATAGACAATTGGATAAGTTTAGGCTAAATTCTGTATAATGGTATGAACTTCTGAAATGTTGTGTACAAATACATGGTGTCGTCTCATTTCCTTTGAAGGTAATCCATTGAGAAGATATATTTTTAAAAACATTAATATGTTAAAGAAGTTACTCAATTCATTTCGTTTTTCAGCCCAAATGGAAATATTTAGAACATATGCAGAGTTGCCTCTCTTTGGTCTAAATACTGTCCAATATTTACTTTGAAGCAAATCAATATTTTTGAAACATTTTCTTGGCGCTGTTTTCATCAAAATACAAAAACTTTGTGTGATAACATTTAATCTAGGAAAGATCCATTAATTTTATATAGTGCAGGTGTTCCAGAGAAATATGGGAAATGTGTTTACATTTGTATAGGTAGACTAGAGTTTTTACCTAAAAAGAGAAAATTAATGAAATTTTATCAGTGGAGGGGAGCTAACTCTTCAAGTGTAATCGCCAACATGTATGATTCCAAGATCTGAAAACAATTATGTTGATACTAGAAAATCCATGATAGGACTGAAAGTAAATTGAGGTGAGGAAACAGAGAGATGAAGTCAATTTAGATGTCCATGACTACAGAACAAGAAGGACAATGACATTGTAGATATACAGGTTTAACTCACCCCCTACCCCTGAAATTTCATAATGAACTATTCCAACCTTCGAATTGGAAGAATTCAAATGTGTCTTCAGGGGTGAATGAGTTGATGCATTAACTGGTCATTTCTACACTAATATGTATCACAGTTGTACTTATAATGTGTCATTCTTCTTCTTTTTCTTCTGAAAGCAATTCCTCTTGGAAAACTTCCTCTCCAAAAACTGATTCTCCAAATAGTATTTCTTCTGAGAAAAGAATTATAAGATCTGCTGGGTAAATTTTCTCTGATGGCATTTCTTAATCACTGCACTTGTCAATTCTTTAAGCTTGATTGCCTCTTTATCATTATCTTATTATCCCACCAAAAGACTTTTTCATTTTAATTCTTTTCCAGGGAAACTTGGTGTTTCACTTCTTAAGTTGAGCTTCATCTTATAGTTTGTTATTTGTTTCAGTTATAATTTCACTTTGATCTTCAGATATTTCTATTTTGGGAATGATATTGTCTTCAGATTTTCACATTAAGACACATCATTCAAACACATTTGCAATTTATAGTAATTTCTTGTATTTGTTTGTTTTAAATTATATTTCAAAATTGTTTTTATTTGCATAGATATTGTGGTCGATGTTACAGGTTAAAACAAATGGTTCACCTTGTATGCTGTCTTGTTATTCCGAAGACATGACTGTTTTGCAATGATGTCTGAAAAATCTTTTTTCTTAAATCTTTAAAAGTTTGTGATACCCATATTCAAACTTAACGAACTCATATTCTTTAAAAGTCAACGACAATCACATTCATTCAAAGTTAACGATACCTATATTCAAAGTCAACGATACCTATATTCAAAGTCAACGATACCTATATTCAAAGTTAACGATACCTATATTCAAAGTTAAGGACACCCATATTCATTCAAATTCAATGGCACTATCACATTTGTTCCAAGTCCATGACACCCATATTAAAAATGTTCAGGGTAAAGATCACATGATTTTGACATATGTTGGTGTGTGATACTTGTCTAAGCTAGGTTTGAAAAGCTGCTATGTAATATATCATATGTTAATCAATATTCACAGTAATTACACGAATCAGTGATGCAAGCATATTTCTATTGTATGTTTCATCGAGAAATTGATTCCCTGGTGAAGTTCAATAGGAACAAGTTTTTTCCATCATGGGTGCTATGGAAATCAACGCTGGGGACCTGATCAGTGCATTCATAAGTGTTTGATATATATTCTGCTGTTATAGTTGTGACACCTTCCATAATACTCTGCTTGTACTTTTAAAACAGTTTTTATCAGGAATTATTTTCAAGTTGTTTCGTATGAACGACCCAAATAAAATAAATATTTTAGATTTTTTTCTAGGGAAATAAAATAGGAAACAAAATTTGTCATCCAAGGAAAAAAGTTACAATTTACTATGTAGGATGAAGTCTGCAATTTCTGTTTACTACCATGTCGATAAGTTGACAAATCTTTGTCTAAAACTGTCAAGTTCAATATTAATGAGATGGATTACAAAGTGTTGTTAGTTTAATGAAACTTAAAAACATATTTTCTGACTTTCCTTGGTTCCTGTTGTCATATACATCACAGTATTTGTGTTGACATCACTATTTGTAAAGTAATAAAAGATAACTCCTTCAAATATTTTAAGATAAATAAACTTTCATATTGATGATCATTTGTCTGTGATTTTCTGGGTAGATAGGAATGTTTTCTGTTAATTTCCAAAAAAATATAAATCTTAATTTCCAAATTTATTAAATTTTCACAGGATTTTTTTTTTAATAAAGAAAGAAAACTGGAAAGCTAAAAGCTAAATTCGAAAATTGAGAAATCTTGGTTTTTGGAGTTTCTTTTTAAGGTCCCGAGTACTTTTCCTAGCTCCTGTTTTAGTCCGATTGGTTTTTGCATTAAGTTAACTATACATGAACAGGACAGTACATGGGTCTTTACCATTATTGATAGTGGTCTAATGGAAGTCTCCACGATCCCGGTACAGATATACGGGTGGCTTTTGTGTCACCATTGTTTGTCTGCAGAACATGGCGGGATATTGAGAACACTCTCCCACTCTCTGCCAGCCAATTACAGCCGAGCTATTATGTTCCAGCTTCCCTATACTTACCATTGAGTATATAATTAATCAACAATTGGATTTTTTTATGTGGATCAGAAAATCGTGCCCGGATTTTATCGTGGTTGAATTTTGAACCAAGTCGCTATAATGTGATTGTAAAACCTAGGAATTCAGGGTTGGATTTTTTTTTCAAAATCATAGATTGTTACAAAATATCAACTATATCATTAACATGTGTGGAAATTTGAAGGATGCATTTAAGGTTGGTATCATTTTATCGGGAATCTTTTGGGCACCTTTCAATGTTCCTTGTAGCTATATGTTGTTATATAAATCTTGGCGTCCTACAACCAGGAGTTGTACAATTCTAACCTAGAAGGTTTTATGTTGTGGGGCTACTGAACATTTTCATTATTTACTAGGAAAATATCGGACGGGCAAGCTAGTTTTCTAAAATTGATATAAAAATTGTGTATTCCTGGCTTTGTTTGACGTACACAGTCATACAGTTTGTACAAATATTTCTAACATTAAGTGTCTTCTGATGGTGTGAATAATTTAGTGCTTTTTGTACTTGATGAAATATGGAAGCTCAAAAACAATATACATTGATCATGCTCAAAGAGACAATGCACTCACAAATACAGAATTTGCCTTGTTTGTAAGACGAAAAAGCTGCTTTAGTCCACACCAGAGATTTTTTGCTTTTTTGGAATGTTTAAAGAAAAAAAATATCACAAATTAGCCACAATAAGCATGACACCTTATTGCATTTTATTGAATATTAACCTATTCACCCCTAAAGTCACATTTGAACCTTACCAAATCAAAGACTGGGCAAGTCCAATTTAAATATGTAGGGGTGAATGAGTTAATATCATTATAATATACTAGTGATTAGTTTATTCAACATCTGTTTCATAATTTCAACAATTCTTATTATATATAATACCATATCCCCATAGAAATTAATCTAATTTCATACAAGTTGTTTTAGAAAATTAAGTAGATACTGGTAGAAATCTGAAGAACAGAAAAAATGATTTTGTAAAATTTTGAAGGGTTGATTTTGTTAATGAAGGATTACAATTTGAAAATATTTTTGTTCAGGATTTTTTTTCATAAATGAATTTGTTTTGGTAATTAAGCTTTAAAATAAAAATTGCAATATTTTACCTAATGTGACTGTATTAAGTTCTAGATGAAATACCATATTAATCTAATTAATTCCCCATTTTATAATGATTGCCTATTTTCTATTGATTCTTCTGAGTGTTACTTATTTGTAACGACCAGACTTTGACCTTTTGACCTGCATAGAGAGATCTAGTTGGCTGTTTCTAATAATTGTTAGGCGTTTCCCCCTTCCAATTTAAATTTTTCCATTTACCCATTTTTTCTTTCTACACCAGGGTGATTAATAGAATGACTACGATAGGACGAATATCAAACATTTCCCTTTCAATTAAAAATGTCTTATTACCCATAATTTCATATAATAACTGGCGAATCACAATGCTCAATGCTATAAATCGTGATCTGTAATTTATTCATGGTTTTAGCCTTTATTTACAACGGAGATCAATGTAGGATTTATTGAGTTATAGTGTTATACAAACAGTTCAACATCGGCTCAACATCCTTCAAAGAACTGTCATCTTGAAAATTGAAAGCATAAATACTCAAA